ACTGAATGCTGGATCTGCCACCCAACACCACAAACTCTTTATGGAAATTCAGATCCACTCACTATTCCAGTACTTGATTATCATCCCGTGTCCAATGCAATCATTAACCTCAATATCACCTTCAAACACGCCATGAGTCAGGCTGTGGAACATTCCCGAGCTATCGACATACCTCAGACACCACATTTTAATTCAACCCAACACCTCTGAGCACTTCAGGCAGAATGGGTTGGGCGTAACTGTACCCGTGACAAAGGACCAGGGGTGTACCATTCCTGCTCAGATTGGCTATCATGGTGTCCAAGAATCCCAAGATTCCTCAGGGCTTATGAGAAAGAATTACAATGTTCACAAGGAAAAAATACGTATCTCTGTAACAAAGCTCACTCCCCTATAAACTGGGGACTGCTGTCCATTTGTAATAATTCATTAATTTCAAGTTGGCTTGCACAAGCCAATCAACCTATCTCCACCATTACTCCATGAACAAAAGATAATAGAAAGGGTGTACTTTGTGCCCCTCATGGATATATATTCTTATGTGGGGGATCAAAGTAGCCCACAAAGAAAGAACCCAACCCGAATGATGACCCCTTTGCCTGGGCACTACCTTGCCTCGACGGCTTCAGCATGCTTGGCCAATGTACCCTGGGCCATTTGGGACTTCCTCTAGAAATTCACTCTTATAATGAAAGCTTTCACTGGACTTAGAAGTCAAAACTTTCAGAAAGTAAACAGAGAAAATGGTCAAGACATGAAGCAGGCCAACAAAACAGGGACCTTTCCAAGGAAAATCTCAGGCCAGCTTACTCCTTCTTAAGCACCATCCTTCCTTGGTTTGGAGTCGCTGATTTGGAGCATGTCACAAGAACTGTATCTACCACTCTGGAAGGAATAGCTGATGATATTTCTAATTCTCTAGAAGCTCAGGAAAACACCTTACATTCTCTCACAAGAGTAGTGTTGAATAATAAAATTGCTCTAGACTTCATATTAGCCCAGCAAGGTGGAGGGTGTGCTGTTGTTAACACCTCCTGCTGCACTTGGGTAAATGCCAAAGGTGAAGGAGAGAAGGACACCCCAAAGATTTACCAGAAGGCTACTTGGCTTCACACTCCTGACCAAGTAAATCCCCCTTTCTCCATCATTTTTAGCTTGTTGTAAAAAATCATAAGGTTTTGGATTAAATCTGTTTTGTTACTAGGACTTGTGATGCTTTTGGCTGTTCTCATTATAATTGGAACAATTAAATGTTGTATAAGAATTCCTGCCATGATATGACCCAAAGAACCAATATATAATCAATTGAACAACTCCTGTGCATTAATGACATCTACGCCATCAATGAATTTGAACCCCTATTTTAAGCATTTCCTCTTGCTAATTACATACCAGGGGCTCTGAATGCATCGTCCATGGAGGGTTGTGTTGCTAATCCAAAGGGTGTGCCTTTCTGGCAGTTTGAATCCACCAGCTGCTCCTTGGGACAAAGATGGGATGTCTCCTCCTGTGCAATTTTCAGCCTTGGAAACCTGCTGGCAAGGCAGTTATGAGTTGGATCAAACTTGTCTTGCTGTTAGACACAGAGAAAGACAGAGAGGGAGAAAGAGACAGATAGGCAGATGGAATGAATGACCAAATAGTTCTTCACCTACACTCTGTATTAACCTTTCCCAAAAGGATGTATGAAGACTAGATGCTAATGAGAGGCCTGGAGGTTAATGGATGATAGCCAACCATTCAGTATGGTGCCTGGATTTTAAAGATTTATATGAAAACAAGTGGTCACTGAAATACTTAAATCCATGTAGAAGGATGTGTGTGTGATCAAGTTAACAGAAATCTGATTAAAAAGGAAGATAAAATAAAGTCTAAAAGTTGAGTTACTTGGTATGTGTAAATAGAGCCTTAACTTCAAGTTAAAATATTTTTTTGTTGCTTTTGATTTTTTCAAGTTAAAATCTTGACATGAGTCTAGATTCTATGTTGAAATTTAAAGTTACCATTTAGTAACAGCAGTTTCTTGAACTTCCTGTTTTGACCTAACCATATACCCTAAAGGAAAGATTTTCTCTGTGGATGTAGGAGGCAACATTCTATATATCTTTATATAGAGGTTCTGATGAACATTCTTATTGATAAATATGTTTTACATTGAATTCCCAGGAACAAGCAGTCTTGAGAAAATAATTTTAATAGTTGTTGCTGTGTGCCGTCTAGTTAGAACCCACCCACAGCTGACTCTCCAGTTTTCAGGAGCAGCTAACTGCATGGGATGATGCTTCCCATTTTTTCCTCACAGAGCAGTTGGTGGATTCAGTTGCTTGCCTTTGGTATTGCAGCACAGCTTCTTACCACTAGGCCACCAGAGATTTTAACAGTAGGTTCCCAGAATCTATTTTGTGACCATTCTGTAGTTAACTGAAGAGCAAGCACGTATGCAATTATGTACTCTCAACCAGTCATGTAACTTCACATACATGTTATATACAAATGCCTGGTAAGTCCCTACTCTGGGAAATCCCATACTCCTCTCCCTTGCTCGCTGTTTAGTCTGCCACGGCTGTGCTCCTGTAGCTCTTGCTTCCCTTCTATGAGAATACGTACTTCATCCTTTATTGCCCGACGGAGCACTTTCACTCTGTGAATTTGGGCATATTTCTAGTTCAGAATGTCTTTGGACTGAATAAATGTCTCAAGTTTGCAGAAAAGGAGATTTTAAGTATTGGGACATGTTATGGAGGAGATGGGAAGAAACCAGTCTCTGCTGAAGGAAGTCATGCTGGGGGAATTAGTGTCAGCAAAAAAGAGGACCCTCAACAAGACGGTTCTTGTTGACCCAGTGACTGCAGCAATGCACTCAAAGCCAGCAGTGACCGTGTGGAAGATCATGGCCGGGAAGGGTCTCATTTTGTTGCTATAGGGCGAGGGTGAGGTGGAATCAATTTGACGGCATCTAACAACAACAGATGCCTCTGAGCAGTGGTGTTGGAGAAGAGCCTGAACATTCCCTGGATGGCCAAAGAAGTGCTATCTTGAAGAAAGTGCAGCCAGAGAGCTCTTTGGAGGCACTGATGACAAAGCTTCATCTCACATGCTCTGGAAATGTTAGGAAAGATCAGTAATCGGAAATGGATATAATGTTTGGAAAGTTGGAGGGTCAGCGGCAGAGGGGAAGACCTTCAGGGAGATGAATGGACACGGTGGCCATAACAAATGACCTGATTGTGTCAGAGATTAGGAGGCTGACACAAGAGGGTGCAGCGTTCAGTCTGCTGTTCACTGGGTCTCTTATGAGTCAGACTCCACTCAAAGGCACACAACAACAACAACAAAGTCCTGTTGGTCAGTTTAGTTTTTTTTCCCTCAGACTGGCTATCTCCTTCTTTTGTTTCTGAATGAGTGTTGTTTACTGTTGAGCTGGGACCCATAGCTGACCCTCCCTGCATATTATTAAGAGGCAATAAATTGCCCAGGCGGAAATTGCCCATCTTTCTTTCTCCTGTGGATTCAAACTGCCTGCCTTTGGGATCCTTACCACTAAGCCACCAGAGCTCCCTGCTCTGAATAAATTGTTGTTGTTAGGTGCCATCGAGTTGAGTAAGACTCATAGAGACCCTGTGAATCTGAACCCCGTTCTATCCTGTGCCATCCCATTGCTAAGTCACTATGTCAACTCCTCTCTGCGGGGGTTTTCCTCTCTTTCGCTGACCATCTTCCCAAGCATGATGTCCTTTTCCAGTGAACGGCCTTTCCTAGTTACATGTCCAAAGCCTGAAAGACGAAGCTTTGCCACCCTTGCCTCCAGGGAGCACTCTGGCTGCACTTTTTCAAAGACATATTTGTTCCTTCTTTTGGCAGTCAATGCAATATTCAGTACTCTTTCCCAACCAATCACAGCTGAAAGGCATAGATCTGTTATCCATATGAGTAGAAACGAAAAATTTACCCTAGATGGCCACTCACAAGATTTCAACTCTCACTTTAGTATTTCTTTCTGTCTTTCTGTTAGTTGCTCTAGGTCACCTCCACGAGTGCAAAATTCCACCAGTGAAGTGAAAACTAACTCAACCTTCACTTAAATACAGTCCATTTAAATGCTAATTCATTATATTGAAATACTAAGTAACCTCCATCCGCATTTCTCTTTGCAGCTCCCATTTTCCACCCTCTATCATTTCCTTTTCTTTTATTCTCTTTAATTGGCTTGCTTATTTGCTCTTGACAGTTGATGCTCCCGTATCCAAGGGCACCTCTTGACTTTGCTGGTACATTTCATAGCTCAGGATAGTTCATTCACTAAGCAGTAGGGGATAAAGTCTTCATAAAGTGAAGTGAAAGGAAACAACACACAGAACTCGCCTTACCCGGCTGCCAGGCACAGGAAAGCGGGCGTTCGCGCAGCTTTAGGAACCAGCGGGCTTTCCTGCAGCCCAAGGCGGCGGGGGCGTGGCCTCGTGCAGCTCCGGGGCGGGGGCGTGGCTTCGCGCAGATCAAGACACCCGGGGGCGTGGCCTCGTGCAGCCCAGGGAGGCAGGGGCGGGGCCTCGTGTGGGGGCGTGTCTTCAGTTCGGGGGGTGTGGTCTCAGCCCAGCAGCAGCGTGTCCGACGACTTCTGCCTCCCGCTCCTGAGCCCGCGCTGGCTGCCCGGAACCTTGGAGGCGGGCTCGCAGGGAGAAGTCGGAACTCGGAGATGGAAGCACAGCGGTATCAACTACGTTTCCCATCGTGCACAGTGATGAAAGTGCATTAGGCTGCCTCATTCTTCCGCGCCTAAGGCGTGTTAAGAGCTGCGTAGCTGTACCTCCAACGACTGTACGCTGCTGTGGTGAAAGGTGCCTGGGGAGAACAGCTCACACAATGCACGCACTCGTTTCATGGTGCGCGCCGGTGTAGCGGAACCCAGTGTGCGGCGGCGCGGTTTCCGGGGGGACAGTGTCCGCGGGCGGACGTCGGCGCGGCGGTTTAATTCTCCAGCGGCGGGGCCTGCGGTGGCCGCGATGCTCCCGCCTGGACTCATCAGGAAGCTCGGTAACATCCCGAGACCCCGCCCGCCCGTCACCCGGGGCCCCGCAGCTGCGTCCGCTCGCCGGGAGTGGCCGGGATCCCTGCAAGGCTCCGGGTTCGGGGGCGCGCGCTCCGCTGGGGTCGGTTCCACGGTGGAGCCCCTGGGCTGGGATCGTGGATGATGCTGTTGTTCGGTGCTGTGCAATCGCCTCGAACTGTTGACCCATGCACAACAGAACCAAATCCCGCCTGTGCGCATAGTTACTGCTATGTTGTGACCATCAAGTCGGAACCGACCTATAGATGACCCTCCGGGGTGGGGGTTTCAGAGGCAGTTAATTGCACGGGAGGAGATTGCACATCCTTCTCCCGCAGAGCGGCTGGTGGCCTCGAACCAGGTGCCTCCGGGATTGCAGCACAGCTTCTTGCCACTAGGCCACCAGAGTTCCCTAGTCACTGCTATGCTCACACCCATTGTAGCCACTGTGTCAATAGTCCATTTCACCGAGGGTCTTCTCCCCTTGTTCCAGCGCGATGTCCTTCTCCGGGAACCAACCCTTTCTAATAATGCGCCCAGCGTGTCTGAGATGAAGAATGAACCTTGAGATGTGCTCCCGCTTAGCCTTGGGTGGGGAGTGGAGACTGACCTCGCTCTGTGCTGTCCTCCCACAGGTCACCAGCTGGCCGAGATCCGGGAGCGCGCCCTTCGGAGTATCCTCTGCAAGATCGAGCACAACCTGCTCTGCCCTGGGGACCTCGTTCAGGAGAGGCTTCTCTTTGTCCACTTGCTGGAATGGTTCAACTTCCCGTCCGTTCCCATGAAAGAAGATGTCCTCAGCCTGCTCAACAGCTTAGTTAAGGTACAGTCCCCGGAAAAGGAAATGCAGGCTCTGTGTTTTCCATGCAAATATGCCAGTTTCTGAAAGTTAGATAGTTGTGGTGTTTTTGAATCCTGCAAACAGCTAGTGTTGTTGAATTTTAATCCAGCTTTTCTTGTGTGTGATGTGGAGACTCAGATTGTCTCCGTTGTTCTGATTTTTGACGGAATCAGCTCTGCAAGTCAGGGTATGTCATTTTCTCCCTTATCTTCTACTGTTTACATGCACAGGGAGATCACACCTCTTAGGGGGTGGTGCTGCTACTCCAAAGGAGTTGCCTCTCCAGCAGTTCAAATCCAACAGTGTGATGTACAGCGTCCAAAACCCTGAAGGAGGGTCAGCTCTAAGTAGGTTCTGACCCTACGAAGTGGATATTCTTTGAGTTTTGTATGAAAGCTTACACGTTTCTGAATGATGGCGCAGAACAGGGCCAGTAACCAGCACAAATACATAAATTTACTCTTCTCTGTATCTTGTTTTCAGATTTCTGTTTCACGACTGTCTGTATCATATGTTGTAATGATTATTTTATCATAAGCATAACTTTAAACGTTGGCAACTAATTAACATTAAAATTAGAAGACGTTCTTATTGTGTGCTTGGCATCGTTTTCACTAAAGGCATCCTTATGCTGTGTTTAATAGTTTGGGTGTACTGTTTGAAAGTGTTAATTTGAAACACAGTAACGTTATCATTTTCTACCATGTTGAATGTATGGCAGGAGATAAATCTTATCAGTGTTTTGTGTTTTACTATTAGACACTGAAATTAGAAACAAAGTGGCAGTCATCTCCACTGAGTTTATTGTCAGGACACTAGGGAGCAGGTGAAGTTGATTGGTGTCTGTTTAGAGTTAGAAGCCTGACTGTCTGAGCTGGCTGGTGACAGGGCAGAGCTGGCTGGTTGTCAGGGTTGTGAGAGCTTTCCACTGAAGGGGAAGATAAGATAATTTAATAAATGGTGATTGTATTGTTTGTTGTTATTAATAGTATTGATGGTTTACAATCTTTGACTTTTGTATTTATTGTGAACTCTTGTGGGTTAGTGGTAGGGGATTGAACTACCAGGGCAAATGTACGCAGTTTGAATCCCCCAGCTCCTGTGAGGCAGAAGAATGGGCAGTTTCCTCCTGTGCAATTTACTGCCTTTGAAAACCCCCCCCCCACCCCGGAGGGTCAGCTATGGCTCAGTTCTGACTTGATGGTACATAACAACAACACTAATAGTTGAGGCTTTTAATTATTTTTGCAAATCAAATGGTTATATGTTAGACTGCTAAGTGAAAGGTCAGTGGGTCAGGTCTACTAGCCCGTCTTTGGAAGAAAGGGATTATCTCACATAAATATGTGCACCCTTGCAAGCCCCGTGGAGGATTGCTGTGAGAGAGCATTGACTTGACAGCAGTGTTGATTTTTTTAATGTCTCAGTGTATCACTCCCCATATGCTTAATATTAGGGAGCTCTGGTGGTCTAGTTGCAAGAGGCTGTGCTGCAATTCCGAAGGCACGCGGTTCAAGGCCACCAGCTGCTTCTCTGTGGGAAAAGGATGAGCAGTCTTCTCTCATGTGATTAAACGGCTCTGAAAACCACTGGAGGGTCACCTGTGGGTCAGTTCTGACTCTGTGGTACACACACAACAACAACAACAGCAACAATAACATGCTTAATACTGAAGGGCATGCCATGGTTTCTGAAAGTTGGCGGTTGGAAGCCACCCAGCAGCGAGGGCCGGCCAGCCTGGTGAGCCGCTGCTGTCCCAGTTCCCTGTGTGGGGGTTACCTCTGTCTGTTGGGCTCCGTGGTGCGCTGCCGCAACAGTGCAGAGCATGGGGACACTGGCCCTTAGGGTCATCCCATGACTGTGCTCTGCTTCCAGTATCCCCCCGCTGTCCAGCATCTGGTTGACCTCGGCGCAGTTGAGTTCTTAGCCAAGCTTCGTTCGAATGTGGAGCCGGATCTCCAGGCGACGATTGATGGCATCCTTGATGGACTCTTTGTCCTCCCTTCAGAAGACCCAGCACCGCTGTGCACCCTGGCTTCTCAGCCCACCCCAACTGGTAAGGCTTTGCAATCAGTTCAGTGCAGGCTCTTTAAAGGAAAACCATCTAAAGTGTTAAAGATTTCTATTCACACCCTGAGCCTTACTTTTCTAGTCAGTTACATAAACTTGATCTTTGTCTCTGCTTCTTTACCTTTTGCCAAAGCAGGATTCTTTTTTTTTTATTTTTTATTATTTTGTGTGCGTGTACCGTCATATCAGATCTGACTGGTACAGGAGGATATTGTGCCTCCTTCTCCGGCAGGGCATCTGGTGGATTTGAACCGTGTTCTTTTATATTGCTACATAAGATACACTTTACCTTACAGGTTTTCATTTCATATTGCTACATAGTTACACCTTTTTGTTGTTACTTATGTATACATTTTGCCAATGACCTCAAAAGATGCTCCAAATTGTATTGTCTGTGAGGGCCACTTTCCAGATGATTCTTCACTATAATAAACTTTAATGAGCATGTGATGCTCTGTGCCGGACATTGTTCTCAAAGGTCTGGCCTTGCAGTTTTGAATCTTGTCCTTCACATCTGAGTATAAAGGTAACTGCCTTGACTTGAGATTTTGTTGTGTGGACACCATAAAACTAGGCCTGCTCACGTGCTTTAAGTGCAGTGTGGCCCATGGCAAGAGTCAGAGGCCCCTGGGTTCGCTCTGGATCTCACAGCACTCACACTTGGCGCTGGTTGTCTGGGGACAGGCCTGCAGTCACGTGATTCAACACAGTGTCCTGTCAACTCTTAAGACGGCTCTTTGACAGTGATGGTAGTATTCTTACTTTCTAAAGTTTTTCCTTTTGTCTTTTCATGATTGAGAAGCGTGTTGTGAATGTCTTGTTCATTCCCTTGTCCCAAGCTCCTTGGGTTGCTTCTCTGTGGCAGAACCAGGCTTAGAACTTCCTTATCTGACTGTAGTCAGAGAACAGGTAGAGAGGTGGCTCAGGGCTAGAATCCTTCCTTTCCCATGAGAGTCCCAGGTTCGATTCCAGCCAGGGCACCACCTGCTGTGCAGCCACTACACACCTCTCAGTGGAGATTTGCACATCGTGACCTCACCCGAGGGAGCTGTGGCGACACTGGAAGTCCAGCCTTCCTTGATGGTTCCCACTCACCAGCCGCCCAGGGGGAGGAAGCCGGGGAAGCTCCTGTGTGATGTGCAGCTTGCAGGAGCCACTGGAGGGTCAGCTGGGCCTTGCTTTCGACTCAGCGTGATGCATGATGATGGGGAGATGATGAGGGTGGCCCAGGACCGGGCGGGGTTTCCTGCTCTTGTCCGGGGGTGGCTGTGGGTCTGAGCCACGCCAGCAGCACCTCTTGGCAACGGCGACCGTATCAGTGAAGCTGAACAGCTTTCAGCAGAGTTTCCAGAAGAAGGTGAACTGGGCGGAACGCCCTGTGCCCGTGAACGCGCCGCGGAGGACAACCGCACCGTCCGTGAGCAGTCTGACCGCCCTCCTTTGTTGTGTTGTGAGTGTTGTGCCAGTGAGGAGCCAGTGGGGATGAGAACTGGGGAAGAAAGAGACTCAATTTCAGGTCCTTCCGTGTGGGAGGAGGAGCATGAACAGTCACAGGTGGTGACCAGAATGAGAAGTCCAAGTCCCGGCTCTGTCACAGAACAGCAGACTGGGTCACTGTGGGCAATTTAGTTCATTGAACAGGAAAGAGGACTTAACGTTTCGCAAATATTGAGTATTTTCTTTGCAGATTTTCCACAGAAATCTGAAATCTTGACTGGGTATTTCCCTCAAGACAGAAGTCGTTTGCAGCAAACAGAAGCCTTGGCACAGCCCCCAGGTATGTTGTCAGGAGGTCATTCCTCATGGCCAGGTGCCTAATCAAGGGCTTAGTCCTAATGGCCAGGTGTGTCGACAGGAGGTTGGTCCTCAACGGCCAGGTACTGCCAAGTCCACAGCCTTCTCTCAGCATCTCGAAGCTGCCATAAATGGACAAGCTTGCATCTCCACTCCCAAAGTGGACTTTTCAGTAGCATCAAATTGTACACTTGACCGTTGTCCAAAATATAGTCCTTTGTTATGTGTATGTTGTTTTTTCACGGCCCTGGAGTCCAGGAGGACTCATCGCACTGCTGTGAACAGCTGAGCAAAGCCCTGCCCTTTTTGGCTAAGGTCCAGTGTAGCATCTGCATAGTTTAGAGAAAAAGGAAAGGAAGGTAATTGAGCTGTGGGGAGACGTGTGCGGGCGTCTCGGCTTCTTTTTGTCTCGTGTTGGAGCAGTGACCCTGATGATGAGCCTTCTGATCGTCAGGTCATTTTCACAGAGGCTCAAAGCGAAAGAGAAGCGTAAAGCCCCGTGGGGTATTGAAGCAGGGCTCCCTCCTTCTCATACAGGGTTACAGTTACATCTGCATTCGTTTCCGCGAGTAGAGGCTTTCTTCAAACACCACTTCTTTCTGTGTTAAACAGAGATAAGCTGGACGTTCTGGTCAGCTGCAGGGTGATATGTAGACCAGCTGAGCCTTTGAGTGCCATTCAGTACTGGCTTGGGCGGTAGGAATTTTCTACTGTTTAATAACTTGTGGATCAGTTCTTCTCACTGAGGGTCTCTGCCCACAGAGAGCCCATGGACTCCTTCCTTCTTCAGTGTGTTTTAGGCTAATGTTAGAGGGCAGCTGGCCTGCAGACGCTGGTTAGAGGTGAAGCCTTCCTCTTCCCAAGCTGTGTCTGTCGTATTTTCATCCCGTGAGGCATTACCTCTTGCTGTTCCATTGACAGTGAACCGGACCGTGCGATGCTTGAAGTTCTCCGTGTTTCCTTGGCTGCCTTTGACCACGACAGACAGACACGTCCTTTCCTCTAATGAAAGGTACGTGTCTGACGTCCTTCCGGGATGCCTGGCCTTCAGCCCTCACGTCGGGTGGTGGGTACTAGTTCCTGCTACAGATTTTCTCCAGGAGAAGAGAGTCAGTGACTGTGAAAGGTCAAAGAGGGAGGGGAGGAGCGCATTTCAATTTTTCCCAAAGCCAGCCAGAACTTGCACATTGACCCCACCTAGGCTCTCTCTTACGTTTCTTTCTCCTGACTAGACTTCCGCATTCCTGGGTGGCAGGAGCCTGCGCTTAATGGCCGGATGATCTCACTGGCCATTGATGATGTCTTAATTTGATAAAAATAGAAAAACTATAAATGCACCTTTTTTGGGGTGGATGATCTATTTCAAAACATGAGCCCTCTTGGGAGAAAAAGTACATGCTGTAGAGAAACTGGGGACCATGGATGCTGATGAGATGTGAACCTCAGAAGTAGATCACTGGTTCATAGACGTTTGGGGAGTTGTGTGATGTTTAGATTAACTTTTTGCTGAAAATCTTTATTTAATTGGGAGGTACAACCAGTGTGTCATTGTCCCTCTTTTGAGGAGAATCTGGGAGAGAGATCTCCAGGCTAATGTGAGAGGGCACCTGAACTCAGATACAGGTGGGCACTGGGGGTGATTTCTGGTGATGGCCACTAGAGGGTGTCATGTGGTCCTCAGGGGCGCAGCATTTATGGGGGTAGATGGGGAGGGTGGGGTGGGTGCCCTGGGGTGCCCGGTCTGCTCACTGGCCTGTCTTGTTCCTGAGGAGTCAGTCTGACAGCACCAAGGGCCAGTTTCTGAGTGGGCGATGGTGCCCAGGACAAGGGCGGGTGCTGCTTTCTTGTAGTGGGGTGCCGGCTGCCACATCCTAGGCAGGCAGAGATTGTCTGGAAGGTTAATGGGGTCAGGACAGTGTTGGAGCTTCATTTACCTAAAGCAGAGAGAGCTCTGGGTGAGGAATTAAGTCATCGTCAGTGCACTCTGATTGATTGGAGCGAGTTCTGACTCATAGCTGCCCCTCTGGTGGGTTTCCGAGGCAGTACATCACCCAGGAGGAGATGCCCATCTCCTGGGGGATTCGAACTGGCTGAGGTGCAGCAGAGCATAATTCCGTCCAGAGCCTGCCCCCCGTGTGTGCACACACTTACAGTGTTAGATGTGACGGCACATCATGGTCCACTTCAGCACCGCAGTCTTTGAATGACTTCCCTTCTATTTCTGACCTGCTGACGGTAAAGGGAGCTCTGGTGGTGGACTCCGCAGGGAGCGCGTGCTAACCGAAAGGCCTCGCCACTTCGGCAGTTAGGGGCCACCAACAGTGCTAGGGAGAGAGGGGGGTAAGCTTGTCCCGTGCAGTTACGAATGCCGGAACCCTGACGGAGGGTCAGCTGTGAGTTCTGACTTGACGGTACACTACAACAACACAGCACAATACAGCACAGTAGAACACAACACAACACAACAGAGCGTGTTGGCGGGAGCACAGTCACTGAAGGCTCTGGCAACCTAGTGTCTCAGCTGAGCCTGGAAAGACGTTGAACAGTGTCGTCCTGCCCCAGGGTGACTGGCGCCTGGTGTAGGTGATCGCTTTCAGAATAACCTGTGCTGTGTTTTGCAGTTCATTGAGCAGTAATAACCACACTTTGATCTGGAATACTTGTGAACTCTTGAAGGATGTTATCATGCAAGATTTTCCTGCTGAGATTTTCCTGCAGAGACCCAAAATAGTCCAGGTGAGCATGCTCTGTTTGTGTTTAAATTTTGTCTGACTTGGACCCTTCTTTTCCTGGGCCAAGTCATTTTTGCGCACTTCTGTTTGGGTCTTGTAAACCCACTGTCTCCTGGTGACATTGACCTCCTTGAATGTCTTCCTGCGCTGTGGGCCCTGGGCTCACTCCCCTGTTCTGCTGTCTGTGCAGGGCCTCCTGTCGCTGCTGAGGCTGGCCTTTGGGGGTGACGGTAGACACCGTCTGGCCCTGCAGGCAGTGTCGTGCCTGCACCAGCTGTGTGTCAGCTTACGAAGCCGGCTCAACTTCCACCGAGACCCCGGCTTCTTCTCCAGCAAGCAAGGTAGGTGTGTCCGGCAGCAGGGACCGCTGGCATGCTGCAGGCCCTTCTGGAAGCTTCCCGGTGCTCTCATTGCTGCAGTTAGACAGGCTCTTCTTACAGTGTCACAGCCTGAAATCCCCACTCCTGGTGTATGGCAAGCCACCATGCGCTTTTAAAATGTATTTTAATAAGGCATGGCTACAAAGTGTTTTGTTTTTTCTTTATTCTGTGTGCTCATTCCTGTCTGGAGCTGGAGCCTAGGTTCTGAGTGTGGCTGTGTGTGTGACTTTGGGCAGTTTAGGAAATCATGTACTGTGTTAACGGGCCCACTGGTACATTGACTGCTCAGCTTTGATTGTAGGGGTCACTGTGAGACACGGGAGCCCACACTCACTGCCTTCGAGTCAGAACCTACTCAGAGCTGAGTCCCCAGCAGATTCCCAGTGGCTGTATGTCAGTTGGAAGGAGACTTCCCGACTTTCTCCTCTGGAGCTGCTGGTGGATTTGAACTGGTGGAGCGGTAGACGTCTTGATGTGCTACACCGCACTACAGTGCAGAGACTCCGTGGCTCTTAACATAATAACTCCTTAAAGCAATAACTTAACGCAATATGTGACGTACTAAGTAGTTTTGTATAACTTGTGGTCTAGTCAAGAGTGTTGATGCCAGCGCCGCACAGCTAGGGGCACCTGCTGGCCGCACGGAGCACTGTCCCACCCTGGATAGGATAGAGCCCTCTCTTGTTCAGGTGTCTGTGCTCACATGTTTGTGTGGGAAGTCGACTGCCACACTCCAGTGGTTTGTCATCACACTTCCCGTCTATCCCTGCTTGGCCAGAGCCTCACTGCTCCTGGGCTGTTAGAGGACCTGAGCTGTGGTGTAGGGAGTAGGGCATGAGGCCCTCCAACATTTCTGAGGCAGGACGTGCCCCATGAATGACAGCAAGGACACCTGTGTTCTAGAAGGGTTCAAATGCTGACATCAGAGTAGATGGCACTTGAAGGCTCATTCTTATTAGATGGGCCCTTACTTATCACCCACTCTGTGCACCCGATATCCTAGCCATCAAGTATGTAACAGTGAACAAAAGCGATAGGGCCCAGCCCGTGTGAACTGTTGCTGGAGGAGGTCAAGGACTGCTCTTTGGACACTGTGTGTGCTCTGTGTGTGTGCCTGTTGTTGAGAGCCTGGGTACACTGGACTTGCTGTGTGTGCGTGCATAGTAGTGTCCTGCCCACTGTGTGTGTGGGCTAGACTCCTGGCCACACTGCATGTGCCATTTCTGCGTGCACATGGTGGCTTCGTATGCACACTCTGAGTGTTGGATCTGTGTGTATGTGTTCGTTAAGTATGTGTGCCCAGGTTAGTTTCCTGGGTAAAAGTATATGGGTGTGTGTGTGTGTGTGTGTGTGTGTGTGTGTGTGTGTGTGTGTGTGTATTAGTTTCCAGGCACACAGCGTGTTATATATGTGTGCACTCATTGGCTTCCTACACACACAATTGCGTGTGTTATTTTCCCAGGCACACTGTACGTGTTTATGTGTGTCTGCGTGTGTGTGTGTGTGTGTGTGTGTGTGTGTGAGCGAGCTTCCCTTGCACACTGGAGGTGTTACTTTCCGGGTGCACTGTGTGTGTTACACGTATATATATACATGTGCCGGTTTTCTGGACACACTGTGCGTGTTTTATGTGTGTGTTCGTGCATTCGCTCCCTGTGCACTGAGTAGGTGCTCTCTGTGTTAGTTTTCCAGGCACTCTGCGTGTTAAGTGTGTGAACGTGGCTAATTTCCTGGGCACACTGTGCGTGTTGTGTAGTGTGCATGTTAGCTTCCTGTGCACGCTGTGTGTTCTGCGGGTGCTAGAGTCCTTTGCGCAATGTACATGTTGCATGTGCTAGGTTCCTTTGCACAGAGTAGGTGTTGCATGTGCTAGAGTCCTTTGCACACGGTACGTGTTGTGTGGTGTGCACTATTTGTGTGAGCGTGTTATTTGCAGAAAACCCAGCAGTCCGTTTTTAATTCCTGTCTCTTTTAAACAGACACGGTTTCCCAGAATTCGTCTTTGTCTTACTGCCATGAGGGCAGAGACGCTCACCCTTCACAGAACCCTTCCCCGGGGAGCAGCAGCCCCCGGCCCTCTGTGGTCGGGCGCACGGGCCAGCGTCCCCGTGGTGACGGCCAGGACTGGGATGCACTGTCTTCCAGGTGAGTGGGGAGGGCCAGTTAGCCATGTCCTTGTACGTGGTCATTGCAGAGGGAACAACAGACCAGGAACTTTGGCACCTTTGTAACTGTGAGCCACAGTAAGAAATAAATACATTACAGTTCAGTACAAAACTTCTGTGTATGTGTGTGTGTGAGAGAGTGAGCACAGGCAGAATGCTCACACAATGGTCTGGATTCCCTGTGGTCTTACACAAAGTTGATGAGTCAGACCCACAGAATTGTCTCTGAGAGCCACGACTGTGATTTTTTTTGAAATGGTTTAGTGTAGGTGTATGTGTTACGGTGAGGGGGGAGAACCGCAGAATCACTTTGTAAAGTGGAGACTCATGAGGGTGCAGTTTCCAGCATCTTGTTAACATGTTTGTGGAGATACAGGGGTTCAAATGACCACATTTTCTTAGCAGACCGGCGTGGTGTTTGTACATTACCTCAGCCTTAAGCTGCCGGTGCCTGGTGACGCAGTGGTTTAAGCACCTAATTGATAACCGGAAGGTGGTCAGTCTGTGAGCTAGAACTGGCCACCCGGCTGCTCTCGGGGAGAGGTGAGGCAGTCACTCCCGTAAAGATTGCAGCCACTTGGGGCACTGCTCCTCTCGCCTGTAGGCTCACCAGGAGTCAGAATCCACTCGAAGCCAGTGGGGTTTTAGGGTTTTTCCAAGCACCTTCAAAACCTGCCAGTCTGTTTTCACTGTGTGCTGATCAGTGCTCCGTGAGAGGAACGCGTGTCTGTTGGCTCGGTGACTCCCGTCGTCTCCTGCAGTGAGCTCTCAGGGTGTCGGCCTCGCTGTACTTACTGCTGCTCCCAGCTCACTGTGCACCGGGCCTCTGCCAGCCTGGAGCACAGTCCTGTTAGGATCTGTGTCACGGTGGGGTCACATCCTGCAGAAGACCCCCAGGTCTGGGGCTGGCATTTGGATGCTGTGCTGTGAGCACTTGTGCGCTTGTCCTGTGTCGTGCCTGGTGCTTCCAGCAGGGCCACCTCCTGCACTCCAGAGGCCTCTCCCTCGCTGCCGTGTGCTCCACACAGTCAGACCGTCAGGGCTCAGCCATGCCCTCACGGAGCCCACGCGTAAGCCAGGGGGTGGAGGCTTGGAGGGCGTCCATACGCTGCTGTGAGTCAGTGCCATTCGGGGGAGCACGGAAAGGCCACATTTTGAGGTTCTCTCTAAATACGAAGTTCAAGCCCTTCTGAAGTACCTTCCTACCCATCCCCATCACTTTATTTCCAAGTGAGTTTTCAGTGAAGGAAGCTGAGAAAGATGGGGTGTCCTATTTTCTAGTGCCTTTTCAGAATCATGGTTGGGTGTTGAATATGCTAAAAAATCAAGTGACCCATTTCCTGTCACGTTTTCCTGCTTACTTCTTTCAATAGCATTGCCTTGAACACGACATGAAAACCAGATAAATGGGGCCAGCATCCAAGCTGTGTGTGAGCGATTTCATGTCACTGGCCTCGTTAGTTGATTAGCGAGCGCTTTGCTGTAAGCCACCTTGTTTCCGTTAGAAATGATGGGGCATCAGTGCGAGTGTTGACTGCACTGGTTACAAATGGGAGGACATTTCCAGATACTCAGTTTGAAAAGTCAACTATAAACACACACTTTTGTGGCATCTTAATGTTGTGCAATCTCACCGTCTTGCCGGGGTTTCAGATCTCCCCAGAATTGCTGCACGCAGCAGCCTCTGGACCCTTTGCCACTCAGTCAGTTTTGATCCTGGCGGACAGAGTGGAACAGCCGCGTGGAGGGTACAAGCCCGTGGGTCTTTCCCAGCAAACACTGCCACCTCTTTTTCCCACAGAGTGGTGGGTGGGTTTGAACTGTCAACCACTTGGCCACCAGGGCTGCTTTGAACAGTGGATCCCAGCCTTCTGATCAGCAGTGAGTGCTTCACCACTGGGGCCTCCCGCAGCAGCCGGGGGCGTCTGGCCTGGGGCTTCTGACCTGCTGCCAGGCTGTGCTGTCCAGAGGGTCCAGGTTCCAGGTCTTTGTTTTGTCTCTTGCAGCGGCAGCAGTGGCCACGCCCATGTGCCCTCCAGGGTGTCTGTCCCCTCTCCCCTGGAAGTGGGGGCCGGGGACCTGCCTGAGGTGGGGACAGAAGACTCCCTGCGGCTGCAGCTCGAGCAGCTCAGCCTCCCCCAGTTCTGCATCTGCGTGCTGGAGTCTGCCGTCCCGCTGCTGAGGACAGGTGTGTGGTTGGGGAGTCAGCCTCCTTCTAAAGTTTCTGTCCATTTCATGTTTTCAAGGATCTTGCACTTCTCTCTCTCTCTTTTTGGGGCTTTGGAGGCTGTTTTTAAATTTGTTTGTTTGTTCCGCGGGCTCCAAGTTCCCAGGAACCTTAGAGGTCCTTTAGTTCATGCTCAGATCTGGAAGCCCCTTGGAGACCTGTCCATACAGTGCGTCCTCAGCCTGCGTGGCTTGGCGTCACTTGGAGTTGGCTCCTCTGTGCTGCTCCCCTTGTGAGCTCCGTGGAAACAGGCATGCGTAGACTAAGGGTAAACCTGGCCGTTTTCTCCCCATTAACTCCCTGAGTTACTCTCAAAGCTTCACTATTTCAGCTTCTTTCTTATTCTAGAGAAAGCAAATTATTCTGTTGAAAGCAAAACCAAAGCTAGACTCTCACCTTTGCAACAATTTCTTAAAAATCAAACCAAGCCAAAAAACGACCAGAAATACAAATATATTCCTGTTTATGTCTATGTGTGTATCTCCATCTGCATCCTTTGTGTGTCTGTCTACCTATTCTGGAGTTAGATCTTATCTCAAGTGCCAGGTAAGTTTGCAAATGTGCACTGACTCAGCCCCTTGCATGGCGTAGTTTTAGTAGAATTGATAGCAGTGACAGCAGTGACAGCACACCTTACGTCCTCAGAGTCTAGTAACAAGACAGTAACTAAGAATTGAACCCCTGTGTGTCCAGCTAGTATGCTAGGCCTTTCTTCATACAAATGAGAATACTGTGTTTCTTTTTTTAATTTTTTTCCCTTATCCTCCTATGCCAGTCCTATTTTATAACGTAGGTGTTATGCAGCATTTGTCCTTTTGTGACTGAGATGTTTGCTGTGCTGTTTACAATAGCAAAGAAAGAGATGGAAACAACTCAAGTGCCTGTCAACAAATGAGTGAATAGAAAAAGTATTGTACATTCACACAGTGCAATATTACCCAGCATTGAAGACCAATGAACTCATAAAACACTACACATGGATGAGCCTGGAAGATCTGCTGAGTGAAATATCTGAGCCACTGGGAATTTGAGGGTGATTGAAACACTTTTCTGAGATGGAACAGCACAGAGCAGGGACCCTGAGCCCTCCTTGGTCCAGAGATTCTTGTGAGAGGATTTGAGCAGCGACATCCAAACAGTTGAAGGGTTTGTAAGCAGTGCTCCTTCTTCCTCTTCACATCTGTCTGTGCTCGTCAGAATGTGAATGCACAGGGGACACCTTGCCCTTAGCGCTGTACTGGTCTCTGACAGCTCTGAGATCCCTGGGCCAAGTTCTGCTCGTACAGAGGTGGAGGAGGCAAGGAGCGGGAGGGATACACTTGGAAGGTGTTTACTCTCCCTCCCAGGGATATGGAGCCCCGAGTTCTCCTGCCTGAATGATTTTGCTCCTGGGAGTTAGGGCTCCATTAAAATCGTAGAGTGATAATGTGAGATGAAGGAAGAGCTGAACTCTGGCACCATAAAGCGTATGTATTTAGCTGCATAATAAACAGTACAGTTTTAGAGTTAATGGTTTTTGCGTTTAACCTTTTCTTAATTTGCTGTTAGGAGTCAGATTGATAATTGTGCAGCTCTATCTTGGTAATAAAATTTCCTAAATGTTCTTGTGCCCTTTTGTGGGGAATTATGACATAATTTGTAGTTGTTGAGTATCAAGAGCACTTTGTAAGAGAGTTTCCTACAGCTGTTGTGAGAAGATGATTCCGGATCTGGAGGAGCTGCTGGCTTTTCCTTTCTTTCAAAAGAAATTGGCCCTTTAGGATCTGGGGCCAGAGTGACTTCGTTGAAAGGTGATCTCGTGTAGTTAGTGAGGGCAAATCCTTTGTTTCTCGGGAGAACAGAGGTTGCTCTGGGAGCTGTGATTCCGGCAGTTTTCTTTTTTTAAAGATGAGTGCAAGCTTGAGAGGTAGCTTGGTGGCTAAGCACCTCAAAGGCACGTGGTTTGAAGCTTCTATCTCCTTGGCAGGAGAAGGATGGGCAGTCTTTCCCATGCGATTTGCAGCCTCTGAAATCTACTGGAGGGTCAGCTATGAGTCACTTCCAACTCAACTGCAGTGAGATTGAGAGCAAGTTTGAGAGGATGCATGGTAGCACAGTGGGTAAAGCAGTTGACTGTCTGCTGAAGATTTGAGTGTTTGAACCCCTGAGCTGCTCTATGGGAGAAAGATGGACTAGCCTGCTCCTCTGATGGGTGGGACCTGCTCCTCTGATAGGCGGGCTTGCTCCTCTGATGGGCGGACCTCTCCTCTGATGGGCGGGCCCTGCTCCTCTGATGGGCGGGCCTGCTCCTCTGTTGGGCAGGCCTGCTCCTCTGTTGGGCAGGCCTGTTCCTCTGATGGGCGGGACCTGCTCTGAAGGTCACTGCCCTGGAAACCTTCAAGGGTGGGCAGTCCTCATCCTGTAGGGTCAGGTGAATTGGAATCAACTCTGCAGCAGTGACTGGACACAGGCTTGAGAATATGTTGAAATGGAGTTTCTGGAATTTTCCTCAGCAGAATTCAGAGTGGAAGTTGACTACTTAGTTACTCCTGACCAAGCTTAGCTTCCCTGGCAACTCCACAGTGGGATGAAGCTCATTTCTGGAAGGGTTCAGATGTCTGGGACTGAACAGGACATGAACTCTGGACTGTCTCGTGCCATCCTCGCAATCTCTGACACACTCCAGCCCGTTGCTGCAGTCACGTCAAACCACCTGGTTGAGAGTCGTCCTCTCCTTCGCTGCCTCCCCACCTTTCCAAGCTTGATGTCCTTCTCCAAGGAATAGCCTTTCCTAGCAGCGTGCCCAATGCACACAAGATAGTGCCTCACCATTCTTGTCTCCAAGGAGCACTCTGGTTGCACCTTCTCCAAGACGTGTCTGTCTGTTCTTCTGTCAGTCCATGGAGTGTTCTGTCCTCTTCCACACAGCAGCTGTAGGGCATCAATTCTTCAGTCCTCCTAATCTGTTCATTGCCCAGCTTTCAGCAGCATAGCAAGTGATTGAAAAGACGATGGGCTGATAAGAGTGTGTAAAACCCTTGCAGTTTCTGGCCTCTCAGGTGGATGCTGGTCAGGCCTGCAGACCCTGTAGTTATAGCCTGGCTCTGGCCAGGCACCTTGCTTGCAGAGGAGCACGTTGGTCTAGTGGCTCTTCAGAACAGGAACTGGGCAACAGGTTGGAGTCTGTGATGGTCTTGTTTGTCTCCTCAGTGCTTACAAAATCCTCAGAGAAAAAAAGGAATCTTGGGGAGTGAATGGCAAATTGGGCAGCGTGACATCTGGCTGATCCCTTGAAAGTTAAAGAACTTTTTTTTGGTTCATTTGTTTTAACATTTTTAATTTTTTAATTATTAATTTCAATGAAAATTTACAGACTTTGGATTTCCATTCATTCATTGTTGTACTTTTCTCCCTGCCCCCCCACCCCAGTACACTCTTCTCTTTGAAAAGTAAAAGAAAAATTCTTTCATTGTTATACAATCCCTCCTCCCAGGTCCACTCCACTCTGCAGCCTTTGTTATGGACTCCTGTCATGACAATAATACCTAATCACATAACCTCTCTTCTGCTTCTTTTCTAGGGAGTAGACAGATGATAATAGGAGTTCTGGAACTGCTCACAGAGAATCTGATGCTTATTGGTGATGCCCTTTCAGCAGCTATCTGGGAGGACAACAGTCTTTTTGCAATAGATATGGTGAGAATCGTTTAATTTGTGATACCGACAATAGTATCAGTCTTTTCTTTTAGTCCCTTTAAGCAGCTTTGTTCTCTCACTTGTATTTGAAAGCTTTCTTGGTTCCTGGCACAGTGTGTTCCAAGTGTGTTTTGTGTATCTTTTTGCTGCAACACTAGAATTGATTTTTTTTAAGAAATACTAGAACCCTTCCCTGTCCTGAGCCAGTCTCACTAATTCTGACACATCAACCCCCTCTCGCTGCTCCAGATACTGTATCAATCCATCTCATCGAGGATCTTTATCTCCTGTTCTATCCCTATCCCTCCACCCTTCTGAGCATGATATCCTTCTCCAAAGACCAATCTCTCCTGGCCACATGCCCAGAGTATGTGAGATGGAGCTTCAAAATCCTAGCATTCAAGGAGAAACTTGGTTTCACCTTCTCCAGGGCAGACCAATTTGTTTTCTTGGCAATTCATGGCATGTTAAAGACATTTTTCCAGCAGTACAACTTGAAGGCATCTATTCTTCTGTTGTCTTTAGTCATTTTCCAGCTCTCTGAAACATAACAAGGAATTGAGAGGACCATGGACTGGATTAGGTGCACCTTTGTCTCTAGACTGACATCCTTGCTTTTAGCTCTCTGGAGAGGTCCCTGACAGCAGATTTTCCCCATGTAATTTGTCTTTTGATTTCTTTACTGCTGATGTTAAAGAGTGTTGATTGTGGAGCTGAGCAAGCTGTAATTGCCAACAACCTCAATCTCTTCTCCATCTATCATGGTGCTGCCAGTCGGCTCAGTGGTAAGAATCTTTGTCTTCTTGATGTTGAGCTTTAATCCATATTGAAGACTGTAGTCCTTGACCTTCTGCAGTAAATGCTTCAGTTCTTGTTCAGTTTCAGCAAGCAGGGTTGTGTCATCTGCATGTTGTAGGTTGTTGATGAGTCTACCTCCAATCTTGATGACACACTCCTCCTCATAAGGCCTTGCTTCCCTAAATTATTCATTATCTCCTTGTAGTTCTCCTTGACCTAGATTGATCCCCACTAAGTCTAGAAACAAAACCATAGTCTTTGCCATCAAGTTAATTGTGACCCTGTAGGATAGGATAGAACTGCCCCATAGAATTTCAGGGACTGATGTCTACGGAGCCAACTGCATTGCCTTTCTCTCATGCAGTAACTAGGGGATTTGAACCATTGCCCTTTTTGTTAGCAGGTGATGCTTTGACCATTGAGCCACAGGTCTTCTTCCACTAAGAGTATAGTATTGTTCCTTAAAGTTAGTCAAAATGATTCTTTCTTGCCATGGATTCGATGCATAGTTAGATTGTTTTTGCTGATTTTCTGTCATAGGCCTTGCTTTCTCCTGGAAATGGACCTTGAGTGTCTTGCTGCCCCCTCTGTTCCCTCTAGGATGTCGCTGCTGTCTGATGTGCAGGTGTGGTTTTGTCACCCTTATTCATGATCATTTGTTTCTGTAGGGTTGAGTTATGTGGTGTTTCCTGTTCACTCCTGACTTTGGGGATTTTGTGCCTTGAACATCTTTGCCTGGATAGTCGGCCGTCGGTGCTTCAGTCTTGACCAGTTGTTTTTATTTCATTTCCTGGAGTTGTGAGTGCTCTTTTGTAGGTTCTGCCCATCCCACCCTCCCAGACATCTCCGTCTCCTCATCTTGGACAGCTGGGCTCTGCCTGGGTTTCCTTCCCCAGAACACTGCCTAGTGATTGAGTCCAGGCAGAACTCACCTTGCCACTAGTCCTTCTTTCTTGGATCACATCCCACGGGATGTAGTGTCCATTGACTGAGCCTAGTTATTCTGTGTATTCTTATTGTTCGAGATTTAGACACTGTCAGTGCTATGATATGATGGCCAGAGGGGATAGGTTTCCTATAAGGCTTTTGAAGAATGGCATTTCAGCTGCTGACTAATCTGAAAGTTATTAGGGGCACACATATATAGTTACATATATACATACATGTAGCTAGGGTGGAAATTCTCCATCAAAACATTTGTTTTTCTACCATTTGTTTTTCATTATTGTTTGTGTTGCATTAGAAGAGATAGTTTCAGGAAGTATTGCATTTTATCCTATCTTAATCAATGGTAAATGTGTTGATAATTAACATTGTGATGAGTAATCACATGTATAATATTCTTAGGATCATATGAAGGTAACTGATATTTACTTAATACAAATGCCCGTGTGGGGAGCTCTGATGCCTCGTGCATAGGGAGTTGTGCTGCCAGCTAGAAGGTACGTTTTCAGTCCACCAGCTTCTCCTTGGGAGAAAGATGGCCAGTTTCCTTCCATGCAATTTACTGCCTCTGAAAACCCGCTAGAGGGACAGCTGTGGTCAGTTCTGACTCGATGCAATGAGTTGAGTTGTTGAAGATGTTTGCATTCTAATGACAAATCTTCTGAAAAGACACATCACCATTTTAGGCTATCCTGCTTTATGTATGGCTGTGGGTACAACAGCTACACCCTTGGCTATAAACCAAAAGGTGCCAGTTCCTAAAAAGAGCGAGCACTACATGGGTGCGGCCATATCTGACCTTTACCAGCTTCCCGGGGGAAACTGTCCCATCCATAGCATCAGTAACACAAAACCAACCCCATGAGGTCATGCGCCTATACCTCATTCTACACATCTCAGCACTGATCTTACTGCTTTGGTGGACCCATAATGCTATGTGCTAGGTCACAGACCACACAGAACCGTAATGGGGAAGTCAAAAGGTCATAATCCAGATTAATTACAGAATCCAACCAAAACAGCTCCCAAGATGTGCATGCAAGGGCCTCACCACAAGCCTCACAGCAGTAAGTGTTCCCACGTTTTTAGTCCTGCCACTACTGGCTTCCCCCCAGCCCCCTCCAAAGTCCCATCTCAGATCAGCTCTCCAGTAGGTTTCTTCTCTGGTTGAGGGAAGAATTCTTTTTCTGTTGGGGAAAATTCCTATTCTCTGCATCTAGAGTGGTTCAATTTATTGGCAAGACTTGCCAGCCCTCTAGTAGATTGTTGAGACTGGCCAATCCCCTTGTGGAATGGTAGCCAGTCCCTTTGTGGATAAGCCAACACGCCTCACTCTCATAGTCCCGCCCCTCCACATAGTCATGCACACTAGAAAAGCCATATTGAGAGACAGATTCCATACACTTCAGAGCCACCAGCTGCTCTGTGGGAGAAAGATAGGGCAATGGATTTACATAAGGACTCATAGTCAATGGGGCGGTTCTACGCTATTCTGTTCTGTAGGGTCCCTATGAGTTTTTGTTTTGGATATTGTATTAAATTTGGAGCCCTTCAGTTTTGTAAAATGGAATATTAGTTTTTAATCTCAGCTTTTCTTTAGTACTTAAGTACTATTTTATAATACTTTCTGAAGATTTTCACATATTGAAGTTTTTCAACAAGTGAGCTTTTTCTTTGAAGTGTGAAGCATGTTTTATCAGTTGCTTCTTAAATTAAATTTTCTTGGCCAGAACATTTATCTGTAAAATTTAGTGGTTCACTTTTAACTTCTGGCTGCTGATCTTTTATGATTCAGTGAATTATTTTTACTTTAAAGGTTAAATCTGTTGCCAATTGGTATGTTAGAAATGTTAAATAAAACAGTAGTATTTGAAATTCTATTTCCTTTACTTTCACTTGTTTAAAAAGAATACCTAGTAGGTGGGAAAAAAACCCCTCTTTCCTTTGGCTATATATTAAGAAGAACAATTAAATAGAATCTCTTAATTTTATTACCTTTGCCAAGTTTAAGAAGGAAGGTAGAAGCAGTGTTCTGGTTGAGAAACAAAGTAGTAAATTGTGCTGTTACCAAATAAGAGATTAAATAAACACGAGTATGCAGCCGGCAGCAGCTATTTATAAGCAGTGTTAGCCCCGATCATGGCTAGACCTCTGTTAGGGAACCCTGGTGGCATAATCCCTAGTTCTCTTCCAGCAGACATGGGCCCAACTCAGCAACAGTTAGTCAGTGACTAATGATACTAAACTTTGTTTTATATATTTATTGATTACTAGTATATCTTCTTGGGAGAAATACATATTTAAGTCTGTGCCCATATATTACCTGGGTTGTTTGTCTTTCTGGTACTGAGTTGTAGGGGTTCTTTGTATATTTTCTAGATTTTTCTCAGATATATGGTTCCAAAATGTTTTCTCCTATTCTGTAAGTTGTCTCTTCACTCTGTTGATAAAGTTCTTTGACTTATAATTTTTTTTTCTCATTTTGATTAAGTCCAGTTTACCAATTTTTCACTTTTGCTTTTACTACCATATTTAAGAACCCTTTAAAAAAATAATGTCTCAAAACTTTACTTCTATTCTGAAGTTCATGGCTTTCATTCTTAATTTTAGGCCACTGATTGATCTTGAGTTAGTTTTTACATATGGTGTGAGGAAAGGGTCCAGCTTCTTCCTATGCTTGTGGAATTTCAGGTGTCTCTGCACCGTTTACTCAAGAGCTTTCTCATTGAATGGAATTCTCATGCCTCTCCCAGTTAAAAATTTCCATTTTTTTAAAGCTACAAGTATTCTATACAAGCTGCCCTTTTCCCTTCATCTGCTGTTTTAAAAGCGATCGTTTAAATATTAAATATCTTTTACCCATGGAATTAAAACTGTGAACCCAAGGGGAGCTCTGGTGGCCTAGTGGCAAGAAGCTGCACTTGCAATCCCAGAGATATGTGGTTCGAATCCACCAGATGCTCTGCCTGAAAAGGAGGGGCAATCTCTTCCTGTACCTGTTGGATCTGATTTGATGGTACAGACACACACAAAATAATAAAATAAAAAAATTTAAAAAAAAGCCTCCTGTGAACCTTTTACTATTGTCTTTCAGTCCTTTTCTTACATAAAACAATTGTACATAAAACAATTGAAAAAAAACATGCTTTTTTCCGTTCCTCTTTCCCTCTCTCCTTCCTTTCTTGTTTGATTGGAAGGAATGTTGGAAATCATCAAAACTGATCCTTACAGCACTTCCTTTTGTGCTATTTTGAGAAGCACCCAATTCATAATTAATAATTAGCAGAGTTATTGAAAATAACAGAGTTGAAAAATGTTCAAATAAATAGTTAAATGTTTAGAAAAATCTGACACCATTGAGCCCCTAAGTATGATTATTGATTTAGATTATAAATCATGTTAAAGTTAATCTTGACCTACAGATACATTGTTTATAGCTGTACATATGTACACATGTATTGATCTGGAAGAGAATACCTTATGGAGTAATTGCCTGTCAGTATAAAAACACTGACTGCATTTTTTTATGGGCCCCCTCCCTCGAATAGTTTGTGAGAATTTTTAGTTTTTTGGCTTTAATTTTATAAGAGTTGTCATATTTTTAGTTTATAATTTTATTAATAATTTTTGGGTTTTTTTTGGATCAGAGAACACAGCTTAAATATATACTGAAGGGTTTTTGTGGCTCCATATAGGCGTATTTTTTCAGTGTTCTTTAGAAATTGAGAAGACATCTATTTTTAAAATTATGGTCAAAAGACTGAGTGAAGATGGGAGAAACCATCTTTATATTAATAACTTTTTCTTGGTGTTATTCCAGTCACATCCACTTGTTACTGCTTTTTTCCTCTTAAACTGCATTTTGTCAATAGAGATGAATCCCTTTATTCAGTTTGTTGATTTTTGCCTTAAACTATTCACTATGAGAAAGCTCTTGCAGCTTGGTGTAAGGAATCCCGCAGCCAACCCTGGGGCATGGGGCTTGGATCCATCAGCTGCTTCGGAGGACAAAGATGAGCAAACTCCTCTAACGTCATTTACTGCCTCCGGAACCTGCTGGGGGTCAGCTCTGCATCCTTCCGATTCAGCATGACAATAGCAGTATTTACTCTTGAGACTGTTTAGGTTTTTCTTCTTGTTTTTGACCTTTACTGAACAAATAGAAAGTCGTCTTTTTGTGAGTACAAGTTAGTACTCTGTCTCCTAATATAAAATAAATTACTAATGGGAGAATCCAAGCTTCAGCAGTTCTGTTCCACCAGTTCTTGCTGCCTTGCTTGTTTCCTTCTGAATAACGTAATTGCGTTTTCCTAAATAAACAGTGTTTACTTAATTTGTAGTTATTTTAAAACTTGGCAAATGAGAATTATCAAATGATCCCGGTAAATAACATTGCCCTGGCGTCATTGAGTCCATTTCGACTCACAGTGACCTGCTAGGACAAAGTCACACTGCCTCACAGTGTCCGAAGCCGTGATCTTGATGAGGCAGGTGGCCTCGTCTTTCTCCCCTAAAGTGGCAGGTGAGTTTGAATCACAGACTTCTTGGTTAGCTGAATTGTCTTAGCCACACACCGCCGGAGATCCTGGTGAACTACTTGGCTAAATTTATTCCTTTATGTGGTTCTCATTGACGTCACACTTTTTCTTCTTGCTTTCATAATAACCCTTGAATGTGAACATGTGCTGACAGGCATCAGGTGCTTGTCCTGCACTGGCCGGCACCTCCCGCAGCCCCTTTCTCTCATGTGCAGTGGGTAGAGCTGGCCCCAGCACCTTTCCTCCTGTCGCCCTATGTGGCCTCGTCCTCCGAGGGCCGGTTGGCTCATCGGGCATGCTGACATCAAGGATGAATTGAGGACCATATATTTATGATTTTCAAGTTAGTGTGTTTGTATTTTCTAGTACTGTTAACACGTTGCCGCAAGTGATGGTAATACATAAAAAAAATGTGTTTCTAAGCACGGTCGTCAGTTGAAAAGTGGGGCAACGTGTTAACGGTTGTCAGTTGCCATCAAGTTGTACATTTCAAGGGAAAGCGTGTTAATGCACTTTGTTTTAGATAGTAAGCTCTGTAGAACCCTTATGATGACAGGATCTTTCCCACTTTGTACCTGAAGAGAGAGCTATCTGCAGTTTTTTATTTCTTTTTCATTCTCTCATTGCTGCCCACTTGGAATTGACCTATAGCTGACTCTCCGGGGGATTTGCAGAGGCTGTAAATTGACAGGACGACATTGTTCTTTCTCCCTCAGATCTGCTGGTGAATTAGAACAGCTTGCCTTTGGGTTGGCGACACAATTCCTTACCTGCTGTTGTTGTAAGCTATTAGGTACCGCTGAGTCATAGCGACCTTATAAACAACAGATCTGAACCCTGACCTCTCCTGTGCCATGTTCACATTTTCTGACTCACTAGAGCCCATTGAGGCAGTCACTGTGTCAATCCACTTGGTCAAGGATCCTCTACTTCACTGACCCCCCACCCTTCCAAGCATCATGTCCCTCTCAAAGGAATAGCCCCTCCTAGCAACATGCCTGAAGTATGTGAGGCGAAGCCTCTTCTTTCTTGTCTCCAAAGAGCACTCTGGCTGCACTCTGTCTTAGGTGTATGTGTTCGTTTGGCTGTCTGTGGGGTGTTAAGCACTCTTCTCCAGCATCACAGTTCAAAGATGTCAGTTCTTCCGTCATTCTCACTCACTGTCTCGTTCTCAGTTGCATAGGACCTTACCCACTAGGCTACGTGAATTCCTTGTTTTTTATTTAATGACTTTTTAATTATTTGATGTACCTGGTTTCATTTCTTTGTGGCATTGGGATCTTTTTGAGGTCAGGAGTTGTACTAAGTGCATTTTTCCTTTGTTACCCACCTGGGGTTAGGCATACAGGAAGCCTAAATGCTGGTTGGTAAGAGACCCACATTCACTTCTTCCAAGTTGAAACATTTAAATGCTGGCAGGCAGTCACTGCCCATATGATACGGAGTCTCAGCGACCCGGTGGAGGGTAGCTGTAAATTGATTCCAACTCGACTGGCAGTAAGTTTTGAGTTTTATTGTTCTTTGTGTTTTAAAAAATCATGTCAGGAAGGCTTGGTGACCCTCACGAGCGGAGTGTGGTTTGGCTTGTTTGTAAGGGTAGTGTTTTCAGTGGAAGGGTCGTGGCTGGCCTAGCTCTGTGCTGGCCCTGACCAGGTGTTGTGATGCTTTTCAGAGGGAGAAGCTGCTCACTGTGGTGGAGTCCCTCGGGGAGACCATGGCCCATCACAGGAGCGCCATTCATCCGGGGCAGGTGGAGGCGGTGCTGGTGCACCACAGGATGGCCTGGGTCAGCATCTCGCTCTTCACCGTGCGGCTCCTGCAGACGCTGCTCCCCGTGGAACAGGTAAGGCGTGCCCGCGTGGGGCTCCTGCAGACAGTGCTCCCCTGGAACAAGTAAGGTGCGACTCCTGCAGACGCTGCTTCCCGGCTGCTCCCTGTAGAACAGGTAAAGCACGGCCTGCAGAGAACCGTTCCCTGTGCCCTTCCTTCCGTCATTCATGGTGCAGAGGCCTCAAGTGCTGCTGCAGAGATTACATGGGACAGGTGGGAATTCAGGAGTGGCTCCCAGATCAGCTGAAGGAAAGGCCCTTTGGAAGCTAGCATTTTTTTTTTAATTAATGGCATGTATTTTATTGCAATACTCTGTTTGTAGATTTAATGAGTATTCCTTGACTTCCTTCAAGAACTGATCGAAGGTTATTTCTATCAGCGTATCATAGTCTGCTCTTACTGCTTATGTCATTTTTTGGGTGTGCTATATATGCGTACTCGTAGGTGCCCTGGTGGTGGGAAGATCGAGTGAGAGCCCTGAGCTGCTCCGGGGCGGGAGCACGAGGCAGTCAGCTGCTGTCAGGTTCACGGCCTTAGAGGCCCTGAGAGGAAGCCTGTCCTCTGTCCTGAGGGCCGCCGTGGGTCAGAATGTGCTTGATGGCTGGAGGTTTGGTTTGGTGCGTGCTTGGGCAGAAAACATTTAAATAGAAAACAATAATTTATCTGATTTTGCTTTAGTTTTGTGTTAGAATACTGGACTGACAAGTCTTCGTGCCTTTGGAAAGGTAGTTCTTTTTGGTTTTTTCATTTTATTTTGTTTTTACAATTGAAAGCAAATCAGTCGCCTTAATTTTTGGTAGTTCTTTTAAATATGTTACTTGGAACCTAATTAGGGTCGTCACTGAGGCCATGTAGGAGATTATAGTGAAGGTGTTAGTGGATAAACAGCCACACTTGTTTTGGTTGATTAACTCAGTCCAGCCCAGGCCCCTGCTGTCAGGCCTGCAGTGTGGCCTGTGTGGAGCGTGGGGCTGTGCTGCCCTCTGCCTGTGGCTCGCCCCCAGTGTCAGCCTGCAGCTTCCGATCCGGGCTTCTGTTTATTCCAGTGACGGCTGACGGCGGGTGGAATTTGGTTTTGGGAAATGAACAGGAACTGATAAAAGGTTCCCTGAAATCTCTGACCCAGCGGAGCCAGGGGTCTTTTCTGACAGTGAGTGTGGAATTGTTTTAAGAGATTTTGGAGAATATTCATGCCTAGCTTGAAATGATGTCTTGATAATCTTGTGAAATGTTCAGAATGGACCAACCACATTGCTGAGTTGGGTGGAGGGATTTCACTGGAGGCGACATCTGGAAAGGAGCTGAGAACCTGGCTTTGTGCTGTCATCTGATCACGGATCACAGTGTCCTGGGTCCCCTCCCGTCCCTCACAGCTCTGTCAGCCAGACCACAAGGCTGGTGTGTCCCTGGTTAGGGCGCATGATCTGATGAGGGGGGACCTCTGAGGGGTCCGGCCAGCCTCCTCAGATCACCTGGTATGTCACGAGGCCCTCACTGGTCCTTGCTCCTGGTATTTGGAAGAATAAGCTGAAAGAATTTCCTGGATGGTTAAGGTATGCTGACTATTCCGGAGGGCTTCCTGGGTGCAGGTATGGATCATGTCGACTGACAAGAGTCCTGAACCTAGGTCCTTGAGGTTTTCTGCTTGGCTGCTTTGAGGGGCAAAGTATAGGGAAAACTGCCACCCCCATCCCTGACCCTCTAGCACAAGGGGTGGTGGTGCTCGCCTGCCACTCATCTAATGACCCTGAGTAGTCCACACCCACTGTGGTGACTCCCCGGTGGGCCCTGGGCGCACGGTCGCACCACCCATCCCCGCCGCTGCCCCCGCCGCTGCCCCCACCACCGTCCACTGCCTCCTCGTACTACCCCACAGTAGCTGGTGACCTTCAACAACCAACCTTTTGACCAATTGCCCGACATCTAGCTGTTGTGCTGCAGTTTGTCACTGATACATGCTCGCTTTTCTAACGACTATGCTGCGATCTGTCGCTGATACAGGCTTCTTTTTTAATAAGAGGTTATTTAATTATATTACTTGCTGAAACTGAGGAGGACCTCATGCACTTGCTGCGAAGGGTCAAGGACTGCAGCCTTCAGTATGCACTGAGGCTCAATGTCAAGAAGACAAAGATTCTCACCACTGGACCAATTGGCAGCGTCAAGATGGATGACGAAGAGATTGAGATTGTTCACAGCTTCAGTTTGCTCGGCTCCACAGTCAACACTCTTGGCACCAGCAGTCAGGAAATCAAAAAGCGTATCGCGATGGGAAAGTCTGCTTGCTGTTAGGGACCTCTCTAAAGTACTCAGGAGCAACGGTGTCTCTCTGGAGACTAAGGTGCACCTGATACAGGCCATGGTCTTTGCAATCGCTTGTTAAGCATCAGAGACTAGGAAGGACAGAGGAGAGTTGATGCTTTTGAGCTGTGGTGCTGGAGAAGGGTACTGAATGTACCATGGACTGCCAGGAAAACAAACAGATTCATCTTGGAGAGGATTAAACCAAGCTACTCCTTGGAGGCAAGGATTCTGGGGCTTCGTCTGACGTACTTTGGACATGTTGCCAGGAGGGATGGGTCCTTGGAGAGGGGCATCATGCTTGGGAGGGTGGAGGGACAGCGCAGGAGGGGAAGACCCTCTATGAGATGGATTGATTCGGTGACTGGGGTAATCGGGATGTGTGTGTCAGAGGCAGTGTGGTTGGCGCAGGAGAGAGCAGGGTTTAGGGCTGTTGTGCATAGGGTCGCTGGGAGTCGCAAACGACTTGACGGCACATAACAACAATAAACAACTTTATGTACAACCTAATTTGATGAGAATATCAAACATACCAACTACATAAGGTCAAAATCCTAGTGGTTAAGAGTTGCATTGACAACCCAAAGGTACGCAGTTCAAATCCACCAGCTGCTTGCTCTTCAGGATAGAGACGGGCAGTTTTCTCCTGTGGACTTTACTGCCTTTGAAAACCTGTTGGAGGGTTCTGACCTGCAAGTAGGTTCTATCTTGATGGTGAGTTGAGTTGTTGAAGGTCAAAAGAGTATCATTTTCTTAATGGTAAAGTCACGGCAGGAAAGGGTAGGATAGAAGGATTAGTGGAAGTGAGAATTCCAGAGAGGCAGTGGGCAAAGGGCAGATGGACACAGTGCGTGTATGGTAATTAACGTTGGACTATAGGTGTAGGTGCGGTTGAATGGAAAACCAATTTGCTTTGTAAACTTTCACTCAAATCACAATAAAAAATACACAGCACAGGTCACTGGCAACGTACTTCTTTAGTGAGCGTGGGTAACAGATTCCTAAGAACCTTCACAGGCCCATGTGTGTCAGTCCTGTACAGATGGCCGTTTCTGCTGTCAGAGGAGCCCTTCTCCAGAGAGGGGCTGTGCTGCTGGAGCTGCCGTCCACATTTACTGCTGTCGATTGTAGTGTTGATAAGGTGCTTTTCTTTTCTTTTTTTTAAAAATTTTATTATTTTTGTGTGCGTGTACCGTCAAATCAGATCTGACTGGTACAGGAGGAGATTGTCCCTCCTTCCCCGGCAGAGCATCTGGTGGATTCGAACCGTGTAGTTGCAGCTTCTTGCCACTAGGCCACCAGAGCTCCCCTGATAAGGTGCTTTTCTAAAACATCCGCGACAGAGCAGTCTTTGGCCTCCTCCCTCGGTGTCTTCACCTCTAGACCACAATCCGGGGCGAGAACATCATCAGGCGTAGTCCCAGCCCTCCTGTGACAGGCGCTTGAACATGCAGGACGGCTGTCTGCTGTCCTCGCTGTAGCCGTGACAGGCCGTGGACCCAGCGTGGCTCTGTGAGGACAGAGCAGAGTTCCTGTGTGAGGTGATAGAGGGGACGTGTCGGAATCCCCCATGGGCAGGTGAAGGGAGCTGAATATGTGCTGAGAGCTGGCTGCCAGGCTCTCCGCTCAGTGCTGGTCACTTCTCTCAGCACCAGCTCCGCTTGCCGTTCTAACGAGAGACAGAAAGAACTCTGTACCTTGAATATGTGCCTCTGGGTTTACTGTCACGTGTCTCCTTTGCCAAGTGTTCCTATCTTCCTGATCCCTTTAAAGAGGACAGAATACCAGGAGTAACAGGTTTGTGACCTTCACAAACTAGTACCCCCAGACAGAACTCTCCACGCCCCCTGGCTAGACCTGTGTGCAAACTCGTCAGGGATGTGTGTTCTGCAGATGCCACAACTTTGTAGAAACTGAGCAGGGATTAGGGCTGTTGCGCATAGGGTCGCTCTGCGTCGCAGGTGACTAGATGGCACGTGACAACAACAGGGACATACATGAGCATCTACATGCCCAGGTGGGAGGTCACGGGTGCTGAGTGCTTTGCATTGACTGCTGACCTTCCCAGCAGCTGCCAGGAAGTGGCTGGTCATCCCCTGCTGTAAAGACGGCAGTCCAGAGAGCTGTGCGTGACTCGTGGGGCTCCATGGTCAGAATTGATTCAGTGGCATCAGAGATGTAATCTCCAGATTGATCCTGGTCCCTAATCAAAGCCCTCCAGTGACTTCTCCGAGGGACAGAGCCCTGACCGAGACCTCAGCCCCTGCTGGGTCCTGACCCATTCCTGCCCCTTCAGCTCTGGTCCTCGGTGGCCCCAATGCTGGACGCCACAAGATCGTCTCCTGTCATGGAGCCTCTGTCTTTGCTGTTCCTGCCCAGCAGGCTTTCTGCTGCAACCCCCTTGCTTTGCACATGGAGGTCTCAGTAGGTGCCCCCGAATGCAAGCTACGTCCTGGGCCCCACCCTCCACCTCCGTCCTCTCCTTCCCATCCCCCTTTATCCTGACGTCTTCCTGCACGTTCTCGGCCACCTGCCGACTTTCTGATGGACTCTGTCATCTGCACTGGTCCTTCGGCCCTGTGGGGGCGGAGCTTTGGTTTGGTTTTGTTTTTTAGTTTTGTTTTGCTCCCAGAGAGCAGCCCTGGTGGCACAGCAGGTTAAGTGTTGGGCTGCTACCCAAAAGGTCAGCGGATCTAACTCAGCTGTGTGCTGCCTCTGGTGCGCTCTGCCAGGTGATGCTTTTCTGTGCGCTGGAGGTCTGGTCTTGTTCATCTCCTTCCCTGATGTGTGAGGTCTTATCATACAGCTAGAGTCATGGGAAAAACAGCTCTTTCAGTTTTATATTCATTGGTTCAAGGTTAAAAATATTTCATTGGCTCCTGTAGATGTCTAATTAAGGGACAATATTTTTCTGGAACTGTTTGAAATGCTATGTAGAATTTTAGATTTCTTTTCCAGAAAAGCAAAGTCAAATGGGGAAAAAAGAAATCCATGTTTGTTCATGTCCACCTAGCAGGACAGCTGTCCTGTGACTGCGTGGGTTTGGGGTGGGTGGCCAGCCCGGTGCTGGGTGTCCAGGTGTGGGGAGAGGGGAAAGGGGTTGCCCTCCTGGCTTCACAGTTCTGCTGAGGGGAGAGTGCACACGCACAAAATGCAGAGAAAGACTGTGCTTCACATTAAGAGCACAGCGGACATAGTGGGCAGGCCCCGGAGAGGTGGTCACTGGGACTGTGGGTCTGAAGATGACCGGAGGAGGTCTCTTGTGGCTCAGGCCTTAGTGTGCTGGACAGTGAGATTCTTGCATGAAAATGTAGGCTCTGGTGGAGAATTACAGACAAGAAATGGTCCTACCTTAATGTAGATTATCGTAGATGCTCTTCTGACCTCCCTCTCTTTGTTTTCCCTCACTTCCTGCAGGCGGGCCGGTTTTTACCTGAGCCCGTGTCGGCCGCCCTGTTCCTCCTTTCTCTGGACATGCCTTTTTCTGTGGAATATCCAAGTATTAGTGAAGCCGTGGTCGCCTATTTGGAGCAGCTGAACTCTGATGACTACAGTGTTTACAGGAGGACCGCGGAAGCCGCTCATTCCATCGAGAGCACCTGCAGCTTCTTGGCTGATGCTGCAAAGGAGGTGAGGCAGCTTCGGGCCCTGTCGGTACTCCGTCGGACTGGTTGGAAAATTCAGCACAGCTTTTCGCATAGATGCACCTTTGGCAATTGGTTTGCTTGAGGTGGATCTGCATTATGACTTAGTGGGATACATATAGTATTTAACACACACACACACATACATGAGAATCAATCCTGTGAATGACACACTCCCATAAATAAGTAGCATATGTAGGAAAATAATACATGGAGGGTTTTCGTGGTTGGCCAGTCATGTACATTGTATGCCGTGCGTGCGTGAAGATACCACCTTAGATTAACGTGAAGAGGTTAGTCTTAGAGTAAAACTAAAATGAGAAGCTTTTCACTCAGGACCCGTGTGCATTACTGTTGTCACTGAGTACGAAAAGCAGTGACTGTTAATGACTCCGTATTGCAATGTGAGTTCCTCTTTGAAGCAGTTTCCTGTGGACGAGCAGATTGACAGATGAGGTTCTGAGGACTGTTTCAGTGTTTACGTCTGAAGGCACTCTTGTTTATTATGTTATAGTCATTTACCACATTCTAACAAGGAGCCTGAATGTGGTGGTGTTGTTTGTTTTTGGTTTTTCACCTTGCTTTGGATGGAATTTTACTGGGCAGACTTCTGTGCCTCTGTTTTAGGAGCACACTGTCTGCACGGGTGCCCTAAAGCAGGATGGCTTCTTTGAGCTCTGGGTGCCGCGGTCGGCCATGACCACGCGCGGTTCTTTAGACCTTTGTGAACACTGCTCGATGGTCCTGTTGGCTGTGCCAGGAAGGGTGATGAGTTGAGGATAGGCACTGACTCCCGGAGCTGCATTCTGCCCGAAGGTGCCTCCCAGGGTCTTGGGGACCACAGAGAACCGTGGTGCAGCACTCGTCATTTCCCACGTTCACCTCATGCGATGGAGTCTGGCCGAGCCGACCTGTGGTACTCCTCTTTCCGCAAACCGCTGGCTTTATTCTGTGTCTTTCCTCTTCTTCCTTACTGATGCTGCTGGCTGCTGCTTTCCTTCGTGGTGGAGTTTTCAATCACCTTGACGTTGTAGTTTCCCGTGTCCTGACGGCTTGCCTTGGGGCCTGCAGCCTACCCGGCAGAGTGGCTGTGAGCAGCGGCCAGAGCCAGGTGGCCATGGGCTCAAGTCTGCTCTCCCTGCAGACAGGAGACAGTCTCAGGTGGCGTCTGGGGATGTTCCCCTCATCCCCCTCCCCCTGGGCTGCCCTTTTCACGTTAACTTAGACTAAAGCATTGGGGGCTGTCTCGGAGTCTCTGAATGTTGTGATTTCTTCACCCTGCTTAGTTAGCTGTTGGAGCGGTCCACACATGCGACGGTGCCTGTCTATTCTGCTCTTCTAGGGAGAGAAGAACCTCTTGGAGCTGCTGGAGCTGGCGGACCAGGCCTTATGCAGCCTCCCTTTCCATCAGCACTGGCCCCTGATCAAGGAGAGCGTCTGCATTTGCTCCAAGATGTGAGATTTTCTTTCCCTCTTGCGGTGTTCTAGGATACATGTGTACGTATGATGTGTGGCGTGTGTGTATGCTGTCACTCCTCTACATGTGTGTGTTATTGCTGCACACTGTCCAGTCAGAAGTGACCCGTAGCCGACCGTTCAGCACGGTTTCAAGCAGAAGATTGCCCATCCTTCTCTTGTGAAGCAGCTGTTGAATTCAAACTGTGTACCTTTGGGGTGGCAGCAGAGTTGCTCACCAGTCAAACACCAGAGTATCTATGTCCTCTTGACACAATTCCAATAAAAGGTCAAGATCTTTAGACATTGCAAAAAAGTATAAACTGTATTATCACCTTAATGATGGGTTTTTAGAAGCAATGGGATTTTTTTGGACTCTGTAGGCAGTAATATTTTCTACCCTTAAGTAAGTGCGTGCTTTTGTAAGCGTGCATTCACATTGAGTTAGCAAGGTCCAACCGGTAGAGGAATTGGGTGCGAGGAAGTCTCTACGGATGCTCTGTATTCAGAGTTGGGAGGTAACTGACTCCATGCACGTCTCGGTTCTCCCCTGTTACCCAGCGGGAAGTCGGCTCAGGCCAGTCCGTTACTGCAGGAGGAAAGTCAGAAGGTGCTCCTGCGACTGATGGCCCACCCGTGCACCGAAGTACGAGCGGAGACCTACCGCTGCTGCCTGCAGATTGTCAAGGTGAGGTTTGGGGGAGGCGCCGGGATGGGGGCCAATGGGGCATCTCTTACTCCATCCCCTCTCCAATAGTTACAACTTGATTCTGGAAGTTTATGCCATAAAACTCCTTTAAATTAATAAATCTAGTCACTGAGTTACTTTATTGAATAGAGTTTTTAGTAAGATGTTAATTTTATTATATTTTACTACATATACACTGTGATGCTGAACACTGCGACACTGACGTGTCAAATGTGATGATAGTCACCCACGGCGGACGGTGTTTGGTGGAGCTCCCAGTTTAAAACAAGCTTGGAAGCAGGAGTGGCATCCACTTCTGAAAGACCTTGCCTCTGGAAACCCTGTGAACCTGGAGAGAGGATGAAAGTTATCCAAGTGTTCATGTCTTTTGTTCGTAGGGTTGCTGTGAGTCATCTATGACTTGATGGCACTTAACCACAATAAACAACAACATACATAATTTATTGGATTTATTTTGTGTTATTCAATCATGGAAAAGTTGACTTCTACTAAGTAGTCAAGTAATTTTTATGTTCATGAAGTTTAGGTTACTATAACCTAGATTTTATTGTTTCAGGACTGTTAGTATTTTTTTTTCTTTTGAACAATTTGTTCTTACATGATAAAATTTTTCTATATGTAATGATAGTCAAAACAAATATTAAATACCTGATATTTCACTATTAAGAAGAAGAACTCTATGTACCAGACAGTATTGGAAGATATTGTTGTGCATCTTACTCTGTCCTTTTCTCTTTTTTTTTTTCAAATTTTAATTGAGATTTTCAACAACAGTTTCTAGAGAACTTGGGTTTCCATTCATTCGCTGTTGTTCATTTTCCTCCTTACCCATACCCCCAGTTTGCTTTTCTCTTTGAAAAAAATTTCTTGCATTGTTGTACAATTTCCCAACCCCCAAGTCCACTTTTCTGTGCAGCTCTTATTCTGGACTGTTGTAATGCAAATAATACCTAATCATACATTCCTTTTAAGCAGTTCTTTCCCTCATCTGATCCAATGCACTGTACATTATTTATCCCCTCTTTTATTAGTTTCCCCCAACCCCATGTCAATCTTGTTTTATAACAGTGGCACTATGCAGTATTGTCCATTTGTGACTGAGATATTTCACTCAGCATAATGTTCTCGAGGGTCACCCATTTTGTATATTTCATGAGTTCCTTGCTTTTCAATGCTGTATAGTATTCCATTGTGTGAATATACCACAGCTTCTCTATCCATTTGTTTGTTGATGGGCACTTGGGTTATTTCCATTTCTTTGCTACTGTGAACAACACAACAATAAACATAGATGTGCATATGTTTGGGTGGTAGTTCAGATTTCTTTAGGTTATATTCACAGTAAAAGAATTCCTGGGTCAAATGGCATTTCTATTTCCAACTTTTTGAGAAAGCACCATGCCGCCTTCCAGAGTGGTCACACCATCTTACACTCCCACCAACAGTGAATAAGGGTTCCAGTTTCTCCACAGCCTCACCAGCATTTGTTATTCGCTGCTCTGTTGAATTTTGCTATTGTTACTGGGATGAGATGGTATCTCATAGTTGTTTTGATTTACATCTCTCTTAGAGCTAGGGATTTTGACCATTTCTTCATGTGTTTGTTTGCCATCTGAATGTCTTCTTTGGTGAAGTGTCTGTTCATATCCTGTGCCCATTTTGTGAACGGGTTGTTTACTTTTATCTTGTCATGGTGTCTTTTACTTTTTTGACACAGAAAGAAAAGGCATTTGTGGTAACCATTGTGAGGTGACAGGGACAGGTCATTGCTTGTACGGAGTGCACGGCTGTGTTTGTGCTTAGAACTCTTGGTGTGTGTCCTCAGCCGCCATGTATAATGTTTCCACTTGATTTTGTTTCTCTCTCAAACTTCAGTAACTTAAACTCAACTCCTAGGATATATTTGTTATCTATATCCTCTGTGTCTGTAACTTGGAATAACTTGAAAAGAGTATAATGGTCTCAGCATTTGTTCATTTAGTTATCAAGCCCAGTGGCTATGTCTCAGTGATCAGATGAGAGAATCCTCTGTCTTCTCCATCAGTTGTTCTATGCCATCATGTCACCTGTGACTCATAGCAACCCTATGCACAATACCTCCAAACCCTGCCCTTTCTTGAACCGTTCTCACTGTCTCCGACATACCCATCCCCATTACTGTGTCAGTCCATCTCGTTTGGGGTCTTCCTCTCTTGTGTTGCCCCTCCACCCTTCCAAACATGTTGTCCTTCTCCAAGGACTGGCCACATGCCCAAAGTATGTCAGATTTAGTTTCAGAATTCTTGCTTCCAAGGAGGAACTTGGTTTCACCCTCTCCAAGATAGATCTGTCAGATCTCTTGATTTTCCTTGGTATGTTCAAGACTCTTCTCCAGCACCACAACTTAAAGGCATCAATCCTTCTTCTGTTATCCTTAGACACTGTCCAGCTCGCTGATGCATAGCAAGTAATTGCAAAGACCACGACCTGAATCAGGGTACTATCGGTAAAGAAAGTTTTAATAAACTGAAATTGGAATTATAAACAGAAGAAAAAAGAATCATTGGAAAAATCGTTGTCTTATATTTTTTAAAAAATTTTTTTCACCAATTGTATCTCACTAATAATTCTCTTTTTTTCTCCCCCTGGTTTTTCCTACTCCTTCAATTTATAGCTAAACATTGGAGATGAAAATACTGGGCGATGTCCTTTATAGAATATCCATATGTATGTGTAGTATCTGTCTATCTAAGTTATTTTTGCAAAGAACATAAAAATAGAAGGTAAGTGTTCTTAATTTTAAGAAATTATTTGTGTCTTCTAGGAATGCCTAAGTATCCATAATGTCAGTAAACCTGTGTCTTCAGTTTGTCATGGGATTCACTTTCTACTTCACCCAAAAGTTCTGTACGAAATATCCACTTTTGGCATCCAAGAACCACAAAATGAGGTATGGCATGTTAAACGCAAATCAAAGACCACTGTAACTCTTCATATCCTCCATTAGGTCAAGGCAGTGTTCCCATATATAACCAGTGCATATGATAGAGCATTGCAAAGAAGCTTGTCTTTGATGTGAGTTCAGTTGAGGTGTTATTTAAATGAAACGTTAAAGAGGATGTGGGCTCACAATGCCGTCTAGACTTGTGCTCAGAGTATTCAGGTCACGCTGCGCAATTACGTTTTTCAGCTGAGGCACTGAGAAACATGCAAGAGCTACAGTCGACTGGATTTTTCCATTAAAAAAAGTTTTCTACCTAAGAGGAAAATATACGTTAAAGGTAACAAAGGGAGGAGAATTGGCTGGTAGCATGTGTTGATTGTCGTTAGCTGCAGTGGTCGGTTCTGACGCCTGGTGACCCATACACAGCAGAGTTACTGGGTGCCCCAGGACCCAGCTCTGCCTGGTCAGGGCCCTCAGGGGACACAGTGTCACCACAGTGTCAGTCCGTCTTGCTCAAGCTCTCGCTCTTCTCACTGACCCCACCAAAGGTGACGTCCTTCTCCAGGCCTTGGTGCCTCTTCCTGATAACATGTCCAGAGGATGTGAGACGAGGTCTGACCCTCCTTGCTTCTAAGGAGCATTATTCTAAGATAGATTTGGTTTTCCGGCACACTAGGGTATATTCTGTGTCTTCCTCAGCGTTGTAACTCAAGTGCATCACTTCTTTGATCTTCCACCTTCCTTTGTCTAGGTTTTGAATACATAGAGGGCTATTGAAAATGCCCTGGTGGCCTTGTAAGCTGCACTGCAATCCCAAAGGTGCACAGTTCTAATCCCCCCGATGCTCTGCTGGAGAAGAAGGGACATTCTCCTCCTGTACCAAGCAGATCCAATTTGACAGTACACACACAAAAAATAATAAAATAAAATAAATATATTTAAAAAAATACCCTGGCTTAGGGAAGGTGCACCTTGGTCTTTTAAGTGACGTCTTTTGTTTTGAACAGTTTAAAGATATTTTTGACAATAGATTTATCCGTTGTATGTGCCGTTTGATTTCTTAATTGCCAGTTGTGTGGGTGTTGATTGTGGATCCAAGTACAATGGAATTCTTAGCAGTTTCAGTCTTTTCTCCATTTATCAAAATGCTGCTCTTAGGTCCAGAATGGAGCTGATGGTATTTTGTGGGCGAGTTACAAACTGGAATTCTTCTAGATCTGTCAGAAGCTGGCTTGTCCTCTGATGGCCATCACCCCTCTCTGTTGTCTAGGTGAACGCTGCTGCCAAGGCCATCTTGCTGTACCTGCTTCAGGGCCGCCTGATGATGGCACCTCTGACCTGGAACAAGCTCCTGGAGGCTCTGTGCCCCGTCCTCCCGGTGCTGCAGGTGCTCCAGCGGTCCTCCCACCGGCTCCCTGTGCACCTTCCTGGAACCAGCAGAGGCCCCAGCAGGGCCGCCCTGGGTGGAAAAGTGGGGGAGCGGGCAGCTCTGTGCGCCTGCCTGGAACCAGCAGAGGCTCCAGCAGGGACGGCTGCCTTGTGTGCGTCCCTGTGTGTATGGGTGGGAGGATACAGAATGAGGACATGGACTTCACTGTGACCGTGGAGGATAGAAGCAGCCTTACATAAGTAACCTTGCCTCGTGTATCTGTCCACATGTCTGGAGCTGCGCCTTGATTAACAGCCTGCTGGATACGCAGCCTTTCTATCTGGGCAGTAAGGGGGGAGGGGCTGCGGTCCCTGCCCATCCCAGGGGAGCAGGGTGATGGGGCACCATCATGGGGACAGCTCTGTGTTGGGAGGAGAGCCAGGTCCTGACCTCAGCAGTGTCGTTTCCATGCACTTGGTGTTGGGGAGCGCAGCGCTGCACGGGGCGCAGCTCTGTGCTGACATTTTGGGGCGTGTGTGTCCCGCAGGCTGCAGTGAAGCAGTGCACCCCGGAGGGCTCACAGGCTTTCCCTAAACTCTCTCAGCTTTTTGGTTACTGTTTTGGTAAAATCCATGTAACAGCAGAATGACCATTTAAAGCACCTTTTCTTGTGCGTTTCAGTGAAGTGAATGGCATCATAGTGCTGCACTTAGTGATTTGCAAGGTTTTCATCACCCCAGACAAACTCCGTTCCCCGCGAGGAGCCTGTAACCTGGCCCGCCCCCAGTCCCCAGAAGCCACGTGTAAAGCCTGTTTGGTACGAGTGGGCCATGCCAGGCTTGTCGTTACACAGCAGGCCCATGGCAGGTTTTCACGGTTCGTCCTCGGCATGGTGTCACATTCTCACAGGCCTCTATGGCGAGTCCTCTGTGCGTCCTCTCCGTCTGTGAGTGGCCGACCGTGTTTGGACGGTGGGTGGGTGCAGGCTGCAGTGACAGGGAGCACCGTGTCTGTGTCCCTCCTTTTGTGTCCACACCTGGGGGTGGAACAGCTGGGCCAGATGGTATGTGAGGAGCCCTGGTGGTGCAGTCGGTTAGGCACTCAGCTTGGACCCAGAGGGTCAGAGGTTGGAACCTGCCAGCTGCTCCGAAGGGAGACGAGGTGCGGAGTGCTCCTGGAAGGTTGGCCGTCCCGGAAAGGCCACAGACAGCACTTGCCCTGGCCTGCAGAGGGGCCGGGCCGGGATTGGGCGTAGTGGGCGGGCTTGGCAATTTTACAGCCATGTCTTTGAGAAACTCCACACCCTTTCCCTTAAATGTAGCTTTATTTAACCTTCTCGCTTCGTGTAGGTTATTTTAACAAAGTGTCTGTTTTATTGCTGGAAAGTTAGGCGTGGCTTAATAGGCTGCTACAGTTCTTATTTTCTAGTTGGAAGTCAAGGCTTGTGTGTAAGATCGGCCTGTGATTAGTCTCTGTCTGAATCGCCTCTCAGGGCTCTGCAGACACGGAGGACACACTGGGGAGCTGCATCCTCGCCCTGAGCAGAGCAGGCCCCAAGGCGGGCGACGTCCTGCTGCCCCACACCGCCTGGCTGCGCTCCGTGCTTCGGCTCCTGCTGGTGAAGAAGCCGGCGTGAGTACATGGCCCCATGGTGACCACAGGGCAGGGGTCCGAGTGGGGCGTTGGTGTGGAACACTCCAGAGCTGCATGGGCCAGAGAGATGTGAGGAATGAGCAAGCTACCTCCCTCCTGCTCGCTCCCCTAACCAAGGTGATCACAATCACTGAATGGATGCATCTCATCGAGGGTCTTCCTCTCTTGCACTGTCCCTCCACCCTGCCAAGCATAACGTCCCTCTCCAAGGACTCATCCCTCCTTGCAGCATGTCCAGAGTGTCAGACAAAGCCTCAGAATCCTTGCCTCAAAGGAGCTGCCTGATTTCACCCTCTCTAGTATAAACCTGCTTGTACTCCTGGCAGTCCATGGTATAGTCCATACTCTTCTCCAGCACCACAGCTCAAAGGCATCTATTCTCTTTCTATCATACCTGGTCATTGCCCAGCTTTCTGACATGTAGCAAGTTATTGTGAGGACTATGACCTGGATCAGGCGCACCTTAGTCTCCAGATTGATGTCGTTGCTCTTCAGTACTCTGGAGAGGCCCCGGACAGCAGATTTCCCAATGCAATTCATCTCTATATTAGCATGGCTAATTTTTATACGTTGTCAATGTAATTAATAATTGTAATATTTAAATATGAATATGATTATAGTAGTTAATGAATTATAATGAAAAATTATTGTGATTGTAATGACTCCTTGTAACCTAGCTTTTCATGGTAGGTTTTTATCGTCTGTAGTCACGTGAACACACTGGTGTTGACTGCAGTGCACTGTGTCCTCAGGGTCCGCTCCTTGGCGTTGAAGCTGCTGGTGGTCCATCTGATGCAGGAAGAGGAGGCCGACATGAAGCGTCCTCCCCTGGACGCCAAGCTTCTCTCCAGGGTCACTCACTTGTTTATTGTGAAGAAACCCATTGAGCTCAAGCTGGATGACAGAAGAGAAGCTGTCATCAAGGTGACTGTGACTCGGAGTCTGTGGCTCCGTTGTCTGGTGTGTTGGCTGACCACGTGTGTCCTGGCCCGTCCTCCAGTTTGCCTGTGCAGCTGGTGGGAGCAGAGCAGGAGGCACCTTCTGTCACCGTGTGTGGCGAGTTGGAGCTGTGTTCTGACTTCCTGTGGGTACAGTAATTTTTTGATCAGATGTTTCTGTTTTATTCTCAAGAAACTGGAGTTTTTTAAGGGACGTAACAGGTGACCGTGCAGGCCAGAAGCATCAGGACACTGCTCAGTCAGGACGCTGCCCAGGCATGCTTGCAGACAGGCTTCTCTCTGACCTTCAGTCTCTCTCTCGTCTTTGAGCGGGTACAAAGCCCTTTCTGTGTGCCCGCCGGGCCACGGTGCTGGGCTCTGGCTCCACGGGGTGACAGGTCCAGTTGAGCATTGTCTGGTCCCATGTCCGCTCTCACTCCTCTGTCACTGCAGGTAATGATTGGGTTTGGCCTCAGTCTCCATCTGTCTCGTTCAGGAATCTCTGGCCTGAAGGGGTGCTCTGTGCTCTGCTGCTGTTTTCTCGATGCAGGTGAAATTCCCTTTTTCTGCCTCCAAACCTGCACACTTACAGGATGACAGAACTGACGATGGCCTCTTTAGTGGATTACACATCTTACTTGCATGTTACCCCAGAGGTGCTATTTACTTTGTTTGCATTGTCATCAGCAGGTTATCTCCAACCCCCTTCCATTATTAGTAAGCTTAGAAGATGTGTTACATTAGAAAAATCTCAGATCTCCCTACGATCTCTTTAAAGTGCCCAAGAGCGAAGATGTCAGTTTAAAGACTCCAGTGCCTGATCCAAGTTATGGTATTTTTTTACGCATGTGAAAGTTGGACAGGGAATAAGGAAGATCAAAGAAGAATCATGCCTTTGAATTGCAGAGTTAAAAAAAAAAAAGAATTGCAGAGTTAAAGGAGAGTACTGGCCTCACAGGTCCGGCCAGAAGAACTAACAAGTCTGGCTTAAAGCACGTGCAACCAGAGTGCGCCCAAGAGGCCCGGCGAGTCAAACTGCATCTCACATACTGTCAGGTGGGGCCAGTCTTTGGAAAAAGACATCATACGTGGAAAGGTCAAGGGTCAAAGAAAGTGTGATGCATTAACATAGTGACTCCCACATGGGCTGGAGCAGGACAGAGATGATCGTGATGGCCCAGAACAGGACAGGACAGTGCAGAGCTGCTGTTCGTAGAGTCACTGTGAGGCAGGGTTGACTTGACAGCACCTCACAACAACATCAGACAGCACGCTGGAGATAAGTATGTCCCTTTCTCAGAAGGATCCACTGTTTTGGTTGGAACTTTGAGAATCCACATCTATCAGCAAAGTCCAGTCCAAAGCCAGACCTCAGATCACAGTAATCTGCAGTGGTCCTGTTCTGTGGTCAGGTCTGGTCAGTTCATCCCTAGCCATTCATGACTCGGTCCAAAGGGCACCAGCCTCAAAGTCAGGGCCCACAGTCTGCCTGCCTCTCAGAGGACCCGATCCCTTCACTCTCAGCCTTAGCCCCTCATGTGAGCTGAGTGTCCCCTCGACTCCCTGCGACTCAGGCCAGCGGCCTTTCCTTCCCCCATTCTTAGCTCCGGTGCAGCCCGCCTCTTCATGGCTGCCCTTCCCCACATCCACTCATCAAGGGGACCTCGGTGGTCGCCACGAGGGGTATGCCATGCTCTGCTCCCTGGCTCCTTTACCTCCGGTCCTGGGAGGGGACACCTGCAGGGCACTGGCTCTGCCCGCGTGAGTCTCTTGCTCTGAGCATTCCTGGAAGGCCTTTGATCGGCAGATTTCCTGGCTGAGGCTTGGGGTGGAGGAGCTCAGGGTTATCCCAACTCCCGTACTTGTGATTTGTGTGTCTCCTCCTTTCTCTAAGCTGTACCTCTAAGGGGGAGAACCCTCCCCTTTTAACATCCAGTCGAGTCCTGCTTTCTGTAGTCTACGCCACCTCATGTTCATTTCTGTTACACTTGATAGAAGCAGCATTCACTGTCCACCGTCCCTTCACATAAACCTGTGAACTCTCACCGTCCCCTCCTGATTGTCTGGCCTCAGCTGACTCTGCAGGCGTTTTCCAGGCCGTCAATCTTAATGGGAATGCTCATGTTTATTACCTGAAGCCGCTGGTAGATTTGAACTCCCCGAGAGGAGAGACCTTAAGGTGTTTGGGGATGCAGCGTGCCAGGCCTGTGCCACCGGAGCTCTGACCTTAATACATAAACCTCCTGGTTTTATCCAGACCATTCTGGTTACCAACTTCCCTTCATCCATGTAACCTTTGACCTCTGGCTGGGGGACCACTGAGCCTGGCCTGGCTTTTGCCTCAGGCCATTCCAGGTTCTTACAAAGCCCCCTGTTTCTGTGAGCCTACATTCATTGCCAGGAGCCTGCGTATGATACCAACTCTCAAAACAGTGTGGCTGTGTGTGTGGGGGGGGTGACCCCTGGCTTCCTCTGACTGCACACGATGAAGAGTCCCCCTCAGGACATGGTGCTGGGCGGACGCCGGGGCCTTCGGGCTTCTCCTTTAGTGTCGAAGGCCGGCTCCTTGCCTTCTGGTTGGGATCGTAGCTGAGCCTCCAGCGCGCAAACCTGGGTTCTCAGTTCCTTGTCACTCAGCTTGACAGCTTTTGTCTTTATGGCACAACGACAGCATTTTTGTGGAGTAATAAAAGCTGATGGAAACCAGTTTTGTTTGTTTGTTTTCTTTTTCAGGTGGAGACTGTTGAAAAATTGTATGAGATCTTTACTTCGGACGACGTTGATTCTGGTTTGAGAAGGTCAGCCGCGGAGCAGTTAGCTGTGATTTTGCAAGGTAATGTCTTGCTCGGCTTCCAGTAGTTAGATCGCCGTGTTGTGTCTCGAGGTCAGTGAAGTGGGTCACGTGCAGCCTGGGGCCCGTCCCTGAGCCGGCAAGCGAGGGCCCTTGTATGCATTCTTCAAGAGTCGGGAGAATAATGCTGAGGTGGTGCCGAGACTGTAGCTGTTGTTGTTTCTGTTGTTGTTTTGCATCGAGTCTGCTTTGACAAAATCATGGAAGCTGTGAACAGCAGATCTGAACCTTGTGCTAGCCTGGGCTAGCCTCACCATACCTGATCTGCTCAGCACTTCACAGGGTAGTGTACCGATCTCTTCTAGATGTTCTGACTCTAAATATCATTTAGAATTATGTCCCATAGAAAATAGGAATAAAATGCTAACTGTAAATTGCACAAGCCTTTTCTTAGTGTACCTCATGTGTGATCTTACCATATTTAAAGAAGTTAGTCGGATGGGGCCTCTGGTGTTCCGTCAGGAACTGTGGGGATCGTACCTCTGGGGTTTCAATCAGGGACTGTGAGGATGGTGCTTCTGGTCCAGTCACGTGCTGTGGGGATGGAGCCTCTGTGTTCAGTCAGGTGCTGTGGGTTCCGTCAGGGACTGTAGGGTTGGTGCCTCTGTGGTTCAGTCAGGCGCTGTGGGGATGAAATGATTTTTCTTTAAATTTTACTTTTTTCCCCCACAAATAATAACTTTTATTTTTCATTTTTAAAAGTTAATTTTAAACACATTCTTGAACTGGTGGCTCAGAGCCATCAGCTTGTCCAGTGCTGGGCCTGTCTCGTCTCCAGTAGCTTTTCCAGGGCTCCCATCTTCCCCATGAAGCTTCATGAGTTTGCTCCGTTCAAACCTGGGCTCCTTCGACATCTTTACCTTTCTAACATGTGCATCATGGAGAGGATAAGTAGACTGGCAAGCCTTTTCAGGACTGTCTAGGATCAGTTTATTGACCACTTCTTTCAGGTCATTTGCACCTCTCTGCTCATGATTTTCATCATTTCCTTCCAAATTTGGCCGACCTGTTGGTGCTGAGCATAAGAAGTCTTCCAAACTGGACACACAAAGCAGACGAAGCGACTGGCCATTGCTCGTCTGGACACCAACATGAGACTCCACGGTCTGCTGCTGTTTGACCGTGGAGCACATTTTGTCACGAGGAAGAGCCGTGCCTTGGGAAGTGGGTGAGGCTGTTTTGCCTTCAACATCCTCCATAATTAGCTTGAATTTTCTGAATGCTGCCTCATCATTTTACAGATCAGCAAGGTTCACTTCAAAATCAGTACCCTTGTGTCCCTCAGACACGATCTGGGTTCCGTGAGTCTTTGTGACTAGTGTCTTCCCAGTATTTCTGTCTTGAACAGAGCTGGGGCCTTTACGTCACACCAGTCTGTCTTAGAAACTGGACCAGCCACCCTCTCATTGGCTCCTTTTGCCACCTTTCGTAAGGCGCTTGTTCCTGCCAACTGCCATGGGGGTGCTCAGAGCCACAAGCTGAGGGGTGACTTCAGATACTCTCGTCACCTACGCTTTGCTTTGCTTAGTGGTTTGTAGTGCTATTTTCTGGCTTTCATCCATTTCTTGGGGTTGGATTTCTACTTTTCCTTCTGTAGAAAGAAGATAATTTATTTAGAGTGATATATGCTAACTTTGCACTTAGATAAAGGTAATTTTTTTTTCCACCTCAAGGTGGAATGGTTAACATGGAGTAATTTGAAAAAGCGTAGGGAGCATTGTTCCAGGGCTTGATGAGAATCCTAAGTACAGACTCCAGAGAGAGAATGAAAAGAAATGGGAAAGGGGCCTTGGTTAAAAGAAATCAAGAAAAACTCTTCTGGGATCTTTTCCTTCACTGTTGCCACCATTTCAGCACATACCATGATTTTGATATGCGCTGTTCTGTAAGGGAGTAACTTAGGGAGTTTCTTGAGTTTTGGCAGTAGCTAATGCAGGAGTCGCATCTACTTCCTAAATAACATGCCTCTGTAAACTCTATGAACTTTGAAGAATGTCGATAGTTGTAGAGGGGATTCAGGTCTTTTGTTTATAGTGTCGCTATGAGTTGTGCTCAACTCGAAGGCAATCAACAACAACAACAACAATAATGGCAGTTAACAATGATCACTGCATTATTAGAATATTGTTACCATATTACCAGTGTAGATTTTTTTCACACTATTGAAGTAGACTGCTAGGAAAACAAACAGATTTGTCCTGGAATGGGTTAAACTGGGTGGCTCCTTGGAGGCAAGGATTCTGAGGCTCCGTCTAACATACTTTGGACATGTTGTGAGGAGAGACTGGTCCTTGGAGAGGGACATCATGCTTGGGAGGGTGGAGGGACAGCGCAGGAGAGGAAGGCCCTCTATGAGGTGGATTGATTCAGTGACTGGGACAATTGGGATGGGAGTGTCAGAGACAGTGCGATTGGCACAGGACAGAGGTCGCTATGAGTTGCAGGTGACTCGACGGCACATAACAACAACATTGAAGTAGACCTCACGTTTAAGGGTTGCACCTCTAATTCAATACCAGTTACAGCCGCTTAGCCATAAGGGTGGCTCTTTTCTTAATAGCTTGGAAGTTTGTAAACTTATGTACGCAGTATGTAGCTTGGAAGTTTGTAAACTTATGTACGTAGTATGTCTCAAAGTCAGTTTTCAGAAATACAGGATACATTCATTCACTTTTAGGAATTATTTTGTTTGTTTACAGATATCAAAATGCATGCTGTGGTGAAAAAGTTATGCTTAATTGACAAGATAATTGAGAATTTAAATAGATGTGTGTGTCAAGACGGGGAGGTAAGACCAGATGGCTGTTGACAAGTTGTGTTTCATTAAGCGGACCTGGAAGGGAAGCTGACTGAGTTTAGATTTTAAAAGCTTGGTGATAGGGAGCTCTGGTGGCCTAGTGGCAAGAAGCTGCACTGCAATCCCAGAGGTACGCAGTTCAAATTCACCAGATGCTCGGCCGGAGAAGGAGGGGCAATCTCCTCCTGTACCTGTCAGATCTGATTTGATGGTACATGCACAAAAAATAATAATAAAAAAAATGTTAAAAATACTCAACAAACCTTGGTGACACCCAGCATCTTGTGTGTTTTATTTTTAAAAGTGAGGTAAAAATCAGTCTTGATTTTTCCTAAGATGTGTGAGCTGGGGGCTATGCAGTATTTCTTTTTAGTGGAATGTAATTCTTGATAATATTGGGATGATACTGATTTTGGTTGTCCTCACCTTTGATGAGAGCATATCCAGTGTCGGCTCCACTCGCGGTGTGTGTGACCCCGTGAGACTTGAGGAGCTGGAGTAAGTGCTTTCTCCTCGGCTCCCGGCCAGGTTGCAGCATGTCTGGTCCCCCCGAGCCTCACGCTGTTCAGGAAGGTGCTGTGGGCCGACCCCGCTCTGCGCTGCTCCCTCTCCGAGAGGCCTCGCCTGCTCACTTTGCTGCTCAGAGGTGAGTCCTGGCGTCTGCCAGTCGGGGGAGGCCTGTGGGCTCGGTGGCTTGTTTCTCTGACTGATGAGAGCATTCATTTCCTGCGTTACTAAAAGAGGAACACATTTTGTTAGGAGTGTGTCACGGTGACATAGTGAGCCACCCACCACGGAGGGAGATGACTGACTCCTCTGTCCTCCTGTCCAGTGACCTGGACTGTCCCCTCGGGGGGTGTGTCAGCACGGACTCAGACGTGTAATGCCGTTGTCTGTGAAGGGGAGCCCCACACGGCCAGCCCGTGGGCCTCCCCGTCTCCCTGCCTCTCTTCCCTCGCCATTCACCCCGTTGAAGGAGCCTGGCTGGGCTGTCGGCTCAGTGCTGCGGGGCTAACTGCGGATGGCAGTGTGAACCCACCCACATCTCCACACAGGAAAGATGGGCAGTCCCGACCCCGTGGAGGCCTCCCTCAGGGGGTCCACTCCCTGGGCAGCCCCGACCATGGAGGCCTCCCTCAGGGGGTCCACTCCCTGGCAGTGAGTGGGCTGTCGTCTGGGCCGTTCGATGTGTATCGAATTATGCCATTAGCCTGCTATTTACCGTGTGTCTCCAGCCTGGAACACCTCCTGCTCTTCAGTAATGTTTATAAAATGGGTGTGTTTGTGCCTGTGACTCATTTCATTCAGTTCTGTGGAGAAATCCCATGTCCTTCGTCCCCTGCTCCTCTGACCTCAGCGTGGACATTGCCAGTCTGTGGTCCTTCCTTCCCAGAGCTTTGACCCCTCTGTCTAGGTAACACTGCTCTGCAAGAGCCCCTGCTTGGGTGGCCCCGGGTTGGGTGGCCCCGGGTGCTTTCAGAGAGAAAATGTGAGCAGGCCTGAGACGACTCAGCAGCCTTCTAAACACTAGGTACATGAGCTTCTCCGTAAACTGACACAGACACGTGTGCTTCTCCGCTGTTACACGACACGCCTTCCAGACACAGACACATGTGCTTCTCCTCTGTTACACGACA